GGGGGGGGGGGGTGGATTTTGAAACATGGAGGATCACCATCACGTTCGGCAGCGTTTAATTTGGGAATTAGACTTTGTAATAATTACAGGTCAAGAATAAAACCGTTTCTGAACAAATTCGTGGTTATTACCCACCTCGTATCCACATGAACACAATCTCCCGGATATCGGATAGACTTCCTCTCACGGTTATACGATAAAATAAATTGTACAAAAAAGACCAACTTAAAAACACGTAGGCTCTCTTAGGACTCAGTGAAATTTTCACTGGATAGTTATAATGACTTTTTAGCGACCAATTCATTGCGTCTTTCCATGAATAGACGTAATTATGCAAAAACGCCCAACTTCGGCTTCAATAGATGACCTCCTTTTGGCTTGTATCATTCACCAATTCGCAATATTTAAATGTACAGAACGTAACGTGAATAAAATTCCTTGATAAACGACAGTTTTGTTCTTATTTGTACAGTGTACAGTTTCAGTACAGTCAAAAGTATATGTTCATCGCGGATTAAACTTCCTTAATGTCTATTAAAAGTAAGACAAAAAAGTTTCATCGGTATAATATCTTAAAATTGATACTTTCGAATGTAGATTAATTGATTTGTACTGTGTACGAGTAAGATGTATTTTTGTACCTAAATATAACGAAGTAACTATGAAGGTAATTACAACATTTGCTTGTTAAAGAATTAAGCCGACTGCTAATACGGTAAATTGTGATAACATTTTGTATTAGTCAGAGTCTTATTGACGCATATGGTTATGACGTGTACTCGGTATATGACAACTTTTGGGATTCCCGTTGTCATTTCTATATGAAAGGAAAGACCAGACAGGGATTACTTAGTAAATGCAATACTTTCCAAGAAACCGTATCTACGTCGAACAGTACAAATTCCAACAAAAATATATGAAATAAAAATAATCAGAACGACGTTTTATATACGTATTCAGCTTTTCGTATACCTTCAGGCAGTATTTTATCCTGGTTATCAGGAGTGAATTTTTCAAATTTTATGCTCTTCAAAATTTTTACAATTTCTACTAAAATATCAAATATTATATCAAGAATTTATACTTGCATAATATTGCACAATAATAACCGTGAAATAGCATTGCATTTAATACATAATTATTGATTGATAAAAATGACTACAAAATGACTACCACGTCATGATAAACGTTTTACACTTTCATACAGTCACCGCTGACATTGACTGCTATGTTATATTGTAGGAGAGGAAATTTTTGTAAAACGTTATACCCCCTATGTGCCAAGAGCTCGATTCTTGCGCGTGTGTAACTATATCGATGAGTTTTGTCGGCCACTCCCAATCATGGTAGAAAGAGACAAGAAATGTTCAGTTCATGAACACATTTTCGACCACTTCGGCGCAGCTAGAAGATTCCACCATTTTTCAATGTTCTATGTTTATATCGTGATATGTGACCCATCGCCCATAACCCCTCATAACCTGATCCTGATCGTGTGTGAAGTGTGTGCTGAAATTTGTATTGTGCATAATAAAGGTGACAATTTCAATAACAATGCCGTCATGTGCAGTGGGAAGTTGCAAAAATTAATTTTAATTAGAAATAATATTTGTTACGGCAGTTTTAAACAGTTAAAACTCTGCGCCTTGTTTCGAAGTACGCGGGCAACAATGGCAGAATCTTCGGGCAGCAGCTTATTGGTCCTCTGCGACGTAGATGCGTCAGAACATACCCTGTCTCATTCTACCATACTCCCCATGAGAACTCTTCTACACGGCTTGATATAATTCTCGTCCTGTGTCTGAGGTGGGGAAGCTCCCAAGGTCAAAAAAAGACGTAGGTATACAGACTACGGGCAACCACATTGCAACCGGCGACTGGATGTTTTATGTAGCTATGATGATATTGGCTATGGGCGTCGTTTCCTCATAGTTCACATATATAAACTTATTTTTGAGTCATGCTACCAATTTTGTTAGACTTTTTCTTTGCACGTACATTGAAATACGAGTGACACATGACCTTGTAGCGCACGTACACAGCGAATAATACTATAGGAATTCAGGCAATTGCGACGTAATTGTTATATGGTGAAGTTTACTGGATAATTAAAATTAAATTCTGCATAATATATTTTATACCTGACACGAGACTGTACCGAATCTCTCAATTGAAAAATCGTGCTTCCCAAAGTGTTAAGTGAAATAATTCACAAGATAGCTTGGGAACAACGATTGCTGCAACATAACCCACATAGCCCCAATCTCCTAACAGTAAATACTACTCTATAAATATACGATATACGATGTTTAATTAAAGCAGTTTATTTTAATAGTTAAACCCCTAAGGAAACATAATATTTTTCTAAAAATTTGTTAGAAATAGGTTATGTGATATGCCGTAGAAATGAGACCGATAAGTTATTGAATTTCGAAAAAACGGTGGAAATCTCGGATTAATCATAAACAGTTTTAAGGTTAAATAAGCAATTACGTTTTGTAGGACAAACCAAGTTACCGCATGAATACATTTAGATTCGTCATTTCCAAGAAGCAAGACTACATTAGGATATTCAAGGCGAACAACTTGGATATCCTTGTAATACGTAATGTACAAAAATATAAAAAAGTCACAAGCACATATAACATATGTGTCCTGCACAGCACGTATGTATTATCTCTGATATCACTCACCGCAAATACAAAGTTAAATATGAAGAGGAGGTATTTGATGCACGCTATTCCGCAATTCATATTGATTAGATTGTCTCACTTCTTCCTTGCTGGTAAAAATTTATACAATCGATCGATCTAAATTTATCTCAATATCACAAATGCGCAACAGATTAACTTTCAATGCGCTGAACGAGAATAACAGTTCACACTCGGCGTTCCGATTTCAACTGATGCTTGTAGCGGCAGTGTTCTATTATATACGACCCCACCCACCTTATCTTCTACAGTACGAAGAATTGAGATTCAGAATGCAAAACGCGTTTATCTAACCTTTCTAAATGTCTCGAATGATTTTTTAACTGATTCCAGTCTGAAGTATCACCTGAATAACAGCAGAATCTCTATACCGATTCTTATAATCGCGATAAACTTTATCAAATTATTTTTATTATTGTATCTCAGTATTCGGCAATATCTTTTTTTTAATGGTTCTTCTTTACTGTTATAGACCGAATTCTTTTTTTGTTTTCGCATTCTAATTTTTATTTGATCATTGTGCATTACTTTTGTATGTGGTACTTCTGTTGTGTAGCAAACTGTTGATTGAATGAAACAGATCACGTTTGGTATAATTCTCTTGGTATTGTTTTTTATGAATTTAATATTTTACAACGTTACAGGCAGATATGTGTCAACAATATGATGCCCTTATACAGTATACCACTTTCAATTACAAATATTCTATGGAATATATTTCATTTGACGGTTATCAACTGTCTTGTAGATAATGGTTTTTGTACGAAATTCAAATTTCTTATACGAGATATTTATTAATTGAAATAAACTTGAAGTAAAATTTAACAATTTATATTAACGTATTCCAAGCTATTAAGTTTCGACTTTGTTCTGTTTACCTGTGCCGCCAAGAGCGTAACAATCAATGAACTTGAACAATATTGACTCAGTACGCGATATAAAATTCGCGTGCGCGAACCTCGTACAACGTAACCAAGAGAGGACATCGGTTATTAGTCACATAACCTTTGAATAACAAAAAAATAAATTTTGTATGAAAAATGACGTCTCTAATTAACACCAATAAATGCACTGTTATCATCAAATGAAGAAGAAGTCTTGATTGTCAATTACCAAAATATAGTTTTACTTACACTAGCATTACGTTATTATTGTAGAGTCAGAATGTAGAGATTTTATTTTGCGAATATCAGGTAATCTTTATTGTTTAAAAGGGACGTCGAATTAAATATATTTATGATTGCATTAAAAATATTAATACGCCTTTCGATTCTTATTGACAATTAATCAGGTACTCTTACTCATGGAAATTGTTAAATATGTGTGAGCATTTGTTAATTTTTTTAATAGTGTAATTCATGATAACCATATCCCAACGGTTGACTCATGTATTCTGTTTTTCCTGCGATTTCATTTACTGTGTTATTTTTGTGTTTTTGGGCGTTACTTATTCTCTATAATGGTGTATCTTATCAGAGATAAATCCTAACTTCCCGTTGATAAGAGCCTGCGTATACTAGTGAACAGTTTTTAATCACAACCTGAGTCTGTATCCTAAAAAATGTAATTCACGCTCATCGATCTTAGTCTATGAGTCACTATGGCTCTAAGCACGTATTTGTAATGATTAAATGTAATTCATTAGTCACAACTTGGTACATTGATACACTTGAACTTTGTTTTCTACTAATACAAATTTGCTGGTGGAATTTCCTCTATACTATCTTTAATTAATTTGAAGATAACAGACACGAGTGAACAAATATTCCCCAAGCTGTTTATCATACATAATTATAAATTATGTCCACCTCTCGATGTTCGATAAACAAGTTCTAATACAATGCACGAGCATCAAATAAATGATACAATTTATGTATGTATATTAAAACAAGTGTATTTGCATTTTAATTAAATTAGACACTTGCGCCGTTTTTAACTAAAATCTAAAATCTAAAAATGTATCGTCATGTCGTTCCTTATATTATAATAATTTTACTTAATGTCACGTTCGGAATAATAATATTAAAGTCTATAATACAGTTAACTAGTTCACTGCTGCGAAGGAATATTTGGTAAAGCTTTATATTTTTTTGCAGACTTTGGTGGTGAAATAATTAAATGATCATTTGCTTCCAATTCCGTGATAGCTGCCTGTTTTGGTCGTGGAAGCGTTGACATTTCTCCTGCTCTTCTCATTCCTTTTTTCAAAGCTTTTGAGTAACACGTAGCCACAGCTACACAGGTAATCTATAAAAAAAATAAATGATTAAATTTATAATACAATTAATTGAAGTAATTAAAAGAAAATCTTTACCTGAAGCACAAAGGAACCAAGTGCGAGTAAAAATATATGTAGCAATAGGGAGCGTGTTCGATTCAACACAGGATGAAGACAACCCCGAGCATACATTGTTGTGCAAGCACCTTCTGTTGTATCTGAATTTGCTAGGTTACTGGTATCACAACAGGACCAAGGAATTGATTCCGTGATACGATAATCTGCAGGACCGTCGATTCCACAACAGCGCAACTGAAATGATATAGCGATTATAAATATAATAAATAAAATATAGCATTTTTATTAACCTTCTGCACAACGAGTATGTACATTTAATTAATTTAGAAAATAAATTTTACTTTGCGTTAACCCGTACGAAAATGTCTTATTGTCAATGATTTTTGCCCAAAGGAAATAAACGGTTTTCCATTGAATTTAATTAATTTACCACACGTTGGCAATAAAACTAGTGGCAATGGAAAATTTTCTTACGGAAGATAATGACTGAACTTTCAATTACGTCATTGACCGAGACATGGGAAATTTCGATAACAACGTTTTAACTAGATTTGAACCTGTTAATTTACAAGAATGATATGGTATACAATATTATTGTACCCACATGAAATGACGTCTGATTTAGGATACATATTTTTCATAATTTATTATGGAATATTGTGATTCATCTATGATATAGTCATTTGTACCGGTCCGATAATTTCATTTCTTGAAGATTATATTATAACCAAAAATAATTAAAAATGTTTTATTAATCAGATATCATTGCAGCACAGTCTCAGATAGAATTCATGAAAAAGAATAGGAAATAATATAAATCGTCCATTTATTTATAAAAAATAAATGTAACATCAAGCGTGAAAAAAAACCTCAGTGAAGTAATATTTGACATTATTAAAATGACAATTTGATTCTTTATTCGCGCGATAAAAATTGTTTTTTCATAACCCTTAACCCTTAACCCTTTGACTGCGGCGCACTCTCAGAGAGAATCATTAATACCGACGGCGCGATGTTCGCCTATCAGTCGCTGCGATAGATAGACTTGTGAGGGCATATACATATGTATATACGCCTTTCGCAGTCAAAGCGATTAATTAATTAAGCGCATGACGTATTTTAAGCGCCAAGTCGAATTACAGTTGTCATACTGCTTTAGGAATATATTACTTTTAACCAAAACTATTGGAATTCCGAAAAACTACATTTTTATGAGCAAAGGTAAGATGACACGAGCCAGGTATGTTGAGTGACGTCATGACGACGCCAAACGTTCAAGCACGCAATACCTACGTAGCAACGTTTCACACGTTCAATAAAGGGTGAAATAAAATTACCGATTAAACTAGAATTTTTGTCCATTGATGAATAAGAGTAATAATTTTTTTGTCATACCCTCATTTGCATACGATCCCAGATTGGCTTATCAGCAGCAATAGCAAGGGCAAATGTCTCCTGAAGAGAAGTCGGTGTCGGAGTGTCAATCTCTTCGTGTCGGACAACCGCCCAAATACCAGCAATGATTTGCGCCAATGCAATAAGCGTTAAAGTGACAGAGAGCTGTAATGCGATAATCAATTAAAAGTAAGGATCTCGTTCCTCGTGAAAATTTCACTGAAATTTCATTATTAAAAATTTACAGCCAACACAGCTACTATCAACAACTGATTGATACTTTCATCATGCAGATATTCTCATTGCGATACAAGTCCTCGAAGCAAGACTGTCTACAGAGTCTTGAATGAAATCTGTTTATATATTAAAAAAAAAGAGTATCATGCTGCATCTAAAAATATCATCAAATGGAAACAACAGCCGGATAACTTTATGCGTTGCGCGTGAGAAATTTTGTGGGTATAAATGGAACAAAGAACCGTCCATGTTTGTGTTTACTCGCATAGATTCTTTGTTACGTTGGCTGCGTTGTTAGTCCGTAACTAAATTAATAAACAAAATCAGCAGTGATTTGTAATACGATACAAAAAATTCTTACAATTATCACTTGAACTCTCCTGGTAAGTCCCATGAATTGCCAAGCATAGATAGAAATGCTAAGGGTAAGCAATCCCATGACCACCAGTATAATTGCAGGGCCGTAGACATTTTCCGGTGTCAATGGTCGATATTCTCGCAGCTGGTAAATAAAAACACCCGCACCAATGCTCACTAGCAGCCCTGAAATCTGTGGGAAAGACAAACATTTCGTATATCGGAAAGCATCTAGCAATTTTAGAATAAAAAATGTACCAGCTCTTGATAAGATACTACAACGGTTGTCTTGACAATAGGTAAAAATTACCAGGAATCGGCTCATCCTTTGATTGTTTAAGGTTGGTACGACTAGATAAAAGATAAGAATAATTCCATCGGGTCACGTCAGCAATAAAAAATACATGATACTGATAATAACGTCAAGGAAATCACAAAATTGATTTTATATGATATAACATTAGATTTAATTGAGCGTTAATATTTGTATAAAAATGAATGTTATAAAAGTTTGTACGAGATTATCAATGGTACACTCCTCTTAATAATCAATTCTCTACCATTTTTGTGTAAGTTACGAGTAACTCAAAAATTACTCATTGCATCTGACAGAATATGGATGATATTTGCCAGGTAATTTTGATAAGGCATTATATAACCCTATACACAATAAACGTCATACGACGAATAGAAGACATTAAATAAAGTCCAAAAATTCAATTTCCACGTTTAATATTGGTGGATATTTTTTCTCGTATTGTTAACTTGTTCACATCAGGTCAGCAGTCACAAAGGAATTCGCGTATAAAAGTGCACTAAGAAATTGAATCACGCGCGTTGAATAGTTTTACGAAAACAGCGACGCTCTAATTGGTCGATTCCATCGAGCCAATCACAAATAAACAATCAGCTGACGAAAAATAGATGATTCTATTCGTAAGGTGGTCGATTGAAATGATTCTTTTTTCGTGTTCTGAGGTAACAGGGGTTCTCCATCACAGAAATCACAACACAAGCACCACTGGCCACTCTTGATTTTATCGAACACAAATGGGTATCGGGTATATAACACTTCGTGATACTTAGTAGTCAAAATTCATCCTAGATAGAGTCAAACGCCTGCCTGCTATCGTTGGAATTATTACAGACTGTGGTAAACTTACGGCGAGAACGACGACGCAGCTCAGGAGGAAATAACGCAGACAGACGAGCGTCCGTGCCATGTCGGATTTATAAATACACGGGAAAAGAAAAAGGACGGGCCTAGTCGACAGCCGACGAAAGTTCGGCTTGGCTACGTTGCCATTACCGCTGCACTAACAAAACCTGTATGCTGTGAATCGACAATGTGCTACGCTCGGCCCATTCACGATCCCCACGAGACAATACCTGTCTGTCCAGCTAGTTGTATTTCTTATCGGGACACATTGCTCGATCTTCTTCTTCCTTAAAACTTGAGACATTTAGGAAATGATTCGAGCAACGATTGTTAACGTATGCTTGGGTTCAATTTTGAATGCGAAACGCCTATTGGTAGTTACTAACAACACATTAATTAAATATCTTTAATATTTTTATTGAAATTTGACAGATACAAATTTCGAGGCATCAAAGGTTTATGTCGATAAAGAAACGTTTGATGCTGTTACATATTTTACAGTGACTTTGGCTTTTTTATTCTTTTAATATCAATGGAGTATTCTGTTTACAGTTTTGATTTTAAGAACTATTTTGTCATGGATACGTTGGAGAATTAAATTAAATTATTTATTCTTCTTATGAAATATCTTATTCTATTTGTGTAATAATTAACTAATCAACTTTTTTGATAGTTAAATATCTTTTGAAAGTCAATTTTATATTCTTCGAAAATTTATCATAGCTTAGTCGATATCCAAGTTACGAAATTATTATTAATTCTGTATAAACAGTTGGTCAAGTATGTATATGTAATTTTAGTAAAAAAAAAATTTCGGATGATCTTGATTTTATTTATTGTAAACAAAGATAAAAGGCAGTTGACTAATGTTTCTACAAGAATAAAATTAGAACACTGTTCTTGATTGTATCTATACTTTCGATAAAAACTCTAGAATTCTATGTAACATGACGTTATTTACATGTCATATTCATTATCAAAAGTACCCGAAAGTCTATTAGATTTCTATTAGGTACAGAAAAAAATGTACAAATTAACATTATTTTTGGGTATTGAAAATTCAAAACTAAACTACAGCTCAAAAACAGCTTTGCTAATATCACCTTTCTGAAGCGCCTCCAAAGCTAATTTAAATTGTGATAATTTAAACACCTTAATTCCTAATTTCTCGTACTGAAGATAGGAATCCGACATCGCCTCAACCAGCGATATACCTTTGAGGAATGTATAAGGATTTATATTAACTCCAACAATGGCCAATTCTTTCATGTAGATCTAAAACAAGAGCAAAATAAGGTTTGGGAATTTTTGAAAAATGTTCTAAATTCTACAACAAACATGAATGACTATATTGAAAGTATTTAGAATATTTTTCATTTTAAATTGCGTTACCTGAAATGGTTCGAGCGTTAATTTGGCCTGAGGACTGGCCACGCCGAAAACACAAAGACGCCCCCCTCGACCAAGTAACGGTACTGCCGATTCCATAGCAGGTCCAGAACCGCTGCAATCTATAGCCAAATCGTATTCACGACCCTTCAGTTCTGCTGGAGCCTTTACTTCGTAGTCCAATTCTATGAAATAGTTCAGTGGTTATAAATGCTTTTGATTTGCTATACCAATAGCAGTATAATTTGTGTGACTTGATTAACCGTTAAGATTATATATACCTAGACGTTTAACAATTTCTCTTCTCGTCGGTTGTGGCTCGCTTACTGTTACAGATTTCCGCAAACCGTGTAAATGAAGAACCGACACCCATAGCAATCCAATAATTCCAGCACCTAGTACGAGAACTCGTGAACCTACGTGCACAGGATTTATTTTGTTCCATCCATGCGCAAGACAGGATAATGGTTCGGTGAGAGCAGCTTGAGGTAATTTTACTGCATCCGGCACCAAGAAAACCTTAAATGAATAAATTAAAATAGTGAAAAAAACAACTTTCAGACAGATGCAGAGTAATTTCGTATAATTGAGAAACGAGGGACAAATGTTTCGAGAAAAATTAGAAATTATCTGTATTATAAGGATATCTATACCTGAGATTCAGGAACTATTGTATGTGTGGACCATCCGCCATTTCTGAATATTCCTATAGTGTTGTGGATACCACCTCTTTGACAAAAATGATAATTTCCATTGTGACAGAAATTACATATATTACAACCATTGTTAGGATCGATCACTACTCTTTGACCAACTTTAAAAGTAGTCACTTCCGGTCCGATGGCTTCTACAGTGCCGGCGAATTCGTGCCCAAGTGTAAATGGACCATCCGATTTGCAGGGGAACGTGCCCTGATGATATAAAGAAAAAATTATTGCTTATCTTATAACTCAAAAATTTATATATTGATATATTAAATATATAAGCTTTTCATGTTCACGTTCACGTTATACGAAATTTATGGTTCGATGCTTTTAATTAATAAATTCTCATTATATTAATATATGGGATGTGCGATAAACCTAATTAAACGAAAAGATTCATGCAACGCTTAATTACATCGTTATTACACGTCAAGTAATATTATAAAACATCGAATGGGATATCGAATCTACGAGATAACATGAAAGAGGAAATACATTCTGTTGTATAATACAACAATAATAGCACCAACGAGACAGAGTAAATTCAATTTAGATATATAATTTCCGTTTCAAATTTTAAATTCAAAACCTTTAACCAGTTCGCAGTAAGTGTTGCAGCACATTGAAATGAAAACAGCCTTTATATATTTTCAAGGTTATAATTTCCTAATCAATAATAAAATAAGTCGTTAAATACGTGATATATGAAACTAATGTATTCTTGAAATTGTAACATATTGTCCAAATGTAATTGTTACTCTGTCTGCTGGGTAATTCCGTTTCCTGCCACAAGATACGTTATTTTGAAAATAAATGAAAAATGTCAGAGTACAAATTGAGTCATACTTCCAAAATATGAAGATCCGTGCCGCAGATTCCTGCATATGCAACTTTTACAAGAACTTCACAGCCAGTTGGTTTTGGAATCGGCGATTTCTTCAATACCAGCGACTTGTCACGTGGATCGAAGCTCAAATGTTCCATCATCATGAAAGGCGAGAATGACAGCTGCACTTGTGATTTCAACTCTGACACTGTAACTCGCATTCTCATCTTTGATACTCTTATAAGAGCAACTCTCCTCCCTGTGGGTTACATTGGTGTCGTGCGCCAATAATGTACCTCCACATCCAGAGCTGAACGTTGACATTGTTTTCATCTTATCAATCCACAAGCTCTGCAGCATTCTATATTTTTAAGGGACACAGAAACTACATACAGCTCGTCAATAAAATTAAGAATACATTGTTATTCAAAATTGTAATTTAAGTAAATTAATGAAGACAAACCTAATACTGCTAATTAAAAATAATTTTACCAATCAAATTTGCTTATTCTGGATATTAAAAGTGGAGTAAATAAAAAGTTCTACTTAAAAAAGTGGATTATGTAACACGCGATATCGCAAACTAACCGACATTATAAAATAAAAGAAATAAAAGTACACTATGTTTTTTTGCTGTAAATTTCCGATGTACAATAATATCAGCAGATAGAGATAGTTCATGTCGTCTTTGCTGTATTAACCTTTATATTTTATGACGCACTGAAATTATCAATTTTTTCCCCCGTATCTTCCGAACGTACATGAAAAAGATATTACGTATTAGATATTCTATTTATGAAAATATAAAAGGCGCATTTGGACTCTATCTCCGACAATTAATTTTTTTCTTTAAATTTAATACCTTAATGAATATTATCGTCATGTATTATCATTGAAGAAGACAATCGCTCATGAAAAATTTAGTTGCGTAATAAATAATAAATAAAAAATAAACGAATATTGTACTTTTAATGACTATTGTTTTTTTTCTTCTATTTCAAAATATTGCACCCGTTTCTCAATTAATACAATTAATAGTAATCAGTAATATCTAACGGTAATATCAATTACAGTAAACGATAATTAGTTTATCCTTCCTACACTAAGTCTAAGATATTAATCGATACAAGCAGTTGGACTTTTATGGAATTAAGCATAGTTAAGTACTAAATAGGCCAATAAACTGTAGAAATTTTCAAAAATGACGTTAGACCTTGTCAATACCGTTACTGAATTATCCCTATTTCAAATTGTTTAAACGAGACACGTTACTCCCACCACATTTTTGACATTATAAAAGGACACGAAAATTTTTGAAGGACACACTCAGTCGTTCGCATGATAACAAGTAAAGTCGTTTGACAGCACTTAGTACTAGTTTTCTTATAGAATAGCAATCCAATCACCATGAAAACTCAAGTCTTGTTCTGCATTTTATTCATCGGATTTCTTGGTCTCTGCCAGGCACAGGATATTACACTTTTATTGAACAACAGACCTTACGTTGAAAGAGAAATCAGCTGCGTTTTGGGACGTGGACCATGCGACCTTGTTGGAAAACAAATTATTGGTAAGATACAATAAGAAATTTGATAATTGTACAGCCAGTAAACACAAAGAAACTGTTAGATATTGACAATATTAGAATAGAATATCGTACCAAGAGGTGTAATATTAATAAAAATCAGTGATTTGTACTACTATTACTCTGTCTACATCTCTCAGTATGATATTTTTATATCATCGATACGTGATCGTCACTTTATATTCGCTGGCTAATACATGCTTTGAACGGTTCTTTAAGATTTACTTTGGCTGAATGCAGCTTCTCTCATGATAGAAACTTTTCTCTGCTTCTTAATACAAACAATTGTTGTACATCTTACAGCTTTACTGCCGGAAGCTCTGAACAACAACTGCGCTCGGTGCAATCGCCAGGACGCTGCTAATGCACGGAAACTCATACAATTTATGATGTATAACTACCCTAATCAATGGCGCGAGATTGTTCAACGTTATTCTGTCCGTCACGGTTAAGCATTTTAATCATACTTTTTTTAGTATGTATATTGATTCAAAAATTCAATAAGGATATTTATTTTCTCAATAAGTTATTTTATTAGATTTTATATTGATTATTTCTGCTACTGTATTAAATTTTATGTTAAAAATATTTACAAATTCTTGTTCCTAATTTCTTTTCTATGCAATTTTTATGTCTATATGTTTGTTCCTAACTTGTAAGAATTTCTGACAGGGATGTAAATTATGAAACGTTAAGATTACGCAAGTGTATTTGAATAAATTTCATTTAGAATATTTAACTCTACTGCACTTTAAAGTGCACGTAAGTTGCATTTTACTAATTTTATCGTTTAACTTATCAAAGATTTATATCGTAAGCTTATACCTATATATGTCAGACAATGAAACCAGAATTGTTTTCGTAATGAAACAGTAATATTATATTGATAATAAGATTAGTTATTTATTAAGTAAAATAGAATTTATTGTGAATAAAGGAGAGTACATTGAAACAAGATTTTTCATTCTGAAATCTGTATATTATTATACAAGTTAACGTGGAGTGTGTACAATACGTGTTGCAATGTTCAAACACTTGAAATTGCTGTTCTATAGGCATATGTATACATTTTTTTTATCACGTTGATTTGAACCAGTATAAGTTATTAATTCTAGTATATTTCAATCAACACAATTGGTTTCCAATTTACTGTCTTATGATCAAAATTGTAATTATTAAACATATTCTGTTGTTGATATAATTTATGTGTAACGGCAATATAATAAGGATAAGGTTAAGGACTAACGAATTAGATGTTAAATTTGTGTAAAAACCATGCCCATAATTTTCAGAAAATTCTATTCATAACAGTGTGTTGATATTTATTATTAGGAACAACATTATATATATTTAGTTATTTCATCATTTATTATTAGTTGGCCTAGCTTTGGCTCTCTCGCGAGAGCAATGGGCCTGACTATGAGCTCGAAGTGAATTGAACACTTTGTTGTTTAATTTGACATCAAAGCTTCCTGTATCACCTGTACAAATACCTGGTGGAAATTGCAGGACACGACAAGCATTTATTCTTGAAGACATTAACATATCATGTTTAGTTACAATCTTCGAATCTTTGCCAACCTTCTTGTAACCACACCTTGGCATTGAAGCATATTCCTTTTCAACGCTCTACATAACAAGATAATTCATATTAGATGCTGTATTAATGTTCTATACATATAATTACTTTTCGTTTTAGGTTTATAATATAACTTTACCACAAATCGATCAAAATCACGTCTTGTCTCATCTACATCTGGTTTTTTATCCTCTAATTCAGTATCGGAAGATGCTCGAAACTTCAAATATGAAACGCCCACTAAAAATAGAGTCAGATTGTAGATTTCATCCAGCAATAAATATTAAAATTAAATAGTATTAACTATTACTAATTGTAATCAATATGTGTAAAGTGTTTACTTGCATACCTTTCGACTCTCCATTAAATTTATCTTCTATACGCTTTAGTTCAAGATCATGCTCTCGATTGTACTGTGCCTGAAGCATATGTGCAATAACTTCATCACTATCAGTACCATCCAACTCAAAGAGTTCACAGTCTGCTGGATTTGGTTCGGGAAGTGCAAGGTCTGTGTGTCTTTGAATTTCTCTATAAGGCATAATTTTTCATCGTAATTTCTCTTAAGCAATAAATAATATGCAATATTTCTTTATGATAAAACAAATGAAAATGGCTTATACCGTTCTTGCAGTTCTTGAGCCAATTGTTCAGATTCTATCTCGATTAAACTCATTGGAGCAGATACTGGCTGAACTGCTCGCCAAGGAGAAGACATTTTCTTGTGTCTCAAAATATCAACACTGGAAGATTAAAAACCTATTTAAATAAAAATCTGCTTCACTTGTCACTTAAGTTTAGCTTATACATAATAACACATGTATTTACTATTGATGGGTTAGGAAATTATTGATATTCAGTTTTATAAAGTAATATACATGAAAAGAACCACAATACTTTAACAATAGGATTATAATAAATCTAAATTTTAATTTTATTAATGTTTCATTAAATTTCGACATTTCGACAAACATTACCTTAAATTAATACTCAAAAACTACTGTACGTACAAAATACTTGAAGGTTGTTCGGCGTGGGTAGGTTAAGTTTTATGAGACAGTGACGCAATTCGCAGTTTGACGTTCACAAAGTTGCATACCCTTGCGCAACACTCAAATCATTGCACAAATTCCTGCGACATGTTGATTTGTATGTCGTAGTAAATAGTGCAACAAATTTTATATTAAAATATAAAATTTATATTTAAACGTAAAGAAGGGAACACAGGATCATTCAAGAGATACATAAATTTCGCATGGTTTTTGTATAAATGAAATATACTTATTGCATAAGATATAACACGTATGTTGCAGATTGTTTACAGTAGGTGTCATATACAGTTCATTAAATAAAAAAAAGGTATCGGCTTTGTCTCATTTTACTTTTCAATTTCTCCCATATATATTTGTTTGTCACTGGATCCAGAGCAAACTGAAAAGAAAAACATAATTAGGCGTGATATAACAAGAGTCTCATAAAGCACAATTTATTATTACCGATTGGTTCCTTTGGATGAAAATCAACATCATTTAATGAGCCATTGTGCCCTGGTAATTTGTACAGTATCCGACGGCTAGTTGTGTCCCAAATATAATGGAATCGATCTGAAGAACCAGATGACACTTTACTACCATCTGTTGACCATGCACACCTCAAAAGATTCTGTGAATGAGACGAGATATTTAAAATTCTGGTGTATTTATCTATATCACACATAAGAAATTGACTGAATATAGCTTTTTAACCTTTTCAAAATTGTGCTGATGACCCAAAAGTATTTTTACACAACGTTCATATGGTGCAAATGGTCGTACATCCCAAATCCTTAAAGTATTATCCATTGCATTGGACAAAATATATGAACCATCTGGACTTAAACTCAATCCAGTAACAGTGTCAGAATGTCCTTTGAGTTTATAAAGTACAGCATTTTTTCGTAGATCCCAAACTTTAACATCATTGTCAATTCCACCACTTATAACTTGTTCAGCAGTATCGTTAAAAGTTACAGCTGTTACCTGTTTTGATTAAATAATATGTATGTTTCATATTAGTAGATGCTTTATTATCTAAAAGTCAAATTTACCTGATATGTATTATTAAGTGTGTAACATTGGCCTCGTTTTCTAGGATCCCAAATACGGATAGTGCTATCATCACTTGCTGAACAAAGTTGTGTTGGACCACGACGAGCACCAGAAACAGAATTGACAAAGGAAGTGTGACCCTTAAGCTTCTTTATTCGAGTTCCCACAACAACGTCCCAAAGGCCCAGAGTAGAATCAGTACTAGCAGTATATAAATGGCCACCGTCAGGACTGAAATGCAGTTCCATCACTGCACCGCTATGTCCAGACATTACAGACACATTTTCACATTCCCCATAAACATTCCAAATAACTAAAATCAAATAAGAATATAAAAGTGTACATTTTACAAAGTAATATTTCATAAACTCCATAAGTTATAAATTAGTATTCTTTGAAGTATCTCCAAGAATATTGTATTATCATGCATATATTACAGTACATTATTATTTAACACTTGACTTACATATTTGACGATCAAATCCTGACGAAGCAAGATATTGTCCCTCGGGATGAAATTCAAGAGTGAATATATCTCCTTGATGACCCTCTAATAGCATTATCGGTGCCATTAGTCCTGATGTTCGCGTTGGACCCTGTTATTCAAAAAATTGTAATGAGTACATGATGATTCTTATTATTATACAAAAAAGATAAATATTAAGCATACACTTTGCACCACTGCTTTCTCTCTGCTACTAAAAACAACTTCATTCTTCGTTCTTTTTGACGCAGGCACCAAGGCCAATATATCGTCGCCCTTTCTTTTATCTAAGATCGGCATTTTTCATTCAATTACCACAATCTTTTAATATCTACAGCGTAACGATTGTCAGTCAAACCAAGTCACCCAAATTATAGGTTATACCAATTAAAATAAGCTACAATACTCTGCGTGTGTTGCGTCCAAAATGGCAACTGAACATCTGAGTATTCATTCTTCATCCTATTATTATCGGTCGATAAAACAGTCGTACAAAAACAATCAATAATAAATTGAAAACATTTTCCAATTTGAAAAGAATGGTTTTATATAATAATGATGGTTGTTAACATTTTATAAATAATTTTTATCTAATAGTATACAATAAATTAGTCAGAGTACATTGTCATATGTTTGAAAGATATTTATGGTATTGTTTATGGGTACTATAAAATCGAAGAACACGGGAAACCTGACCATATATTATACTAGCATAGAATTGTTATTACATCGTAGAAAATGGAAAATAGCTAGTAAAATTATCTCGAATTCGTTGGTTTGGCGACGTACATTATTTGTTAATAAAGTATATCGACTGTAGATCTTTACCACATGGAAAAACATAAACGTACGGCTGATATCAATCATAAATGACATCATTAATATATCAGATATGCGAAGAACCAAATATACATGTATATATAAATATCAATTATGAGTGCTTATCACTAACATTATTTCGTTTAAACTTGTATCTTTTATTTGTTGCGCATTGAATGTTTATAAATGCATGAACGGTCTATTCATTGTGGTCAAATATTAGATCAAACTATATATAATATCATTAGAAAAAATATGAATATTTCTTGCCAGTCTATATTTCAAGAGACGTAATTTTATTTTAGAAAACAAATGAATGAGCCTGAAGTCCTCGTAATCATAAATCGTAATATATTTCGGAGCTTAGCGCACTTATATTGGGTATATAAAAAAAATAGATTTATTTGAATTGCACATTTTAACGTATATTGTATAACTAAATGCAATATAACTCTCGTCAGTTTGTCTCACAATATACGTATTTATAAAAAAATGCTCCTAGGCCAACCAAGAAATAAATTATATACATAATTATTCGTTACATCAATTCCAAATTCATAAAGCAAGTAACAGACTTTGTTTTTTGCTCAAACGTACATAGTTCTCTTTTATTAATTGTGTTATTTCTCGTTCAGAATAGCCAAGCTATTATAAAAATATAGAGAGCAATTTTTTTTATCCAATTGTGCGATTCGATGACAAATCATAATGGAGCGAATTGGAAGATCTACACTGTGAAAGATAAAATCGTTACCGGACATGACAACACAATAGTATTAAATTTATCTAAAATTCAACATCCCAACGTGTTCTTTAAAATAAGATATATACATTATGCCAAATAAGTATATATGTATCTTTAAAAAGTTTCACGCGGAAATATAGATATTGCAACAGCGTCATTCTTCGTAGGTAGAAACGTAAATTTTTACCTGACCATATTATGGTTGAATCTGTAGAGTTATAACGTAATTGTTACACGAAGGTCCGTCTTAGGGAAAATATTTATCACAGACAGAGTCAGAATCTACAGAGTTTATCGTGAAATCGTAATGAGGATTAATGTAAAACATCTTTGGTTACCGTCAATATAAGATTATCTTGTAAAAACCAATTACTGTACTGTCTAATGCACATATAGCATTTTACATTTTTCAATATTGAAGTCTTTCTCAAATAAGAATTAAACAAGTATTTTAGAAATACTAAAACTCTAAAATTGTATCATTAGAAAAGTGCACGTTATGTTCCTCATTGCGATTTTATATGGGAATAGTGAGGAATGCTAAGCACGAAAGGGAAACACATACCCAACACCTGATGAATTATAATCGCTACTTAACTTAATTGAAAGCTAATTACTATGTGATGTGTATAATAGTGGTACTTGAAAAAAGTATGGAATACCTAATTAATGTTGTGCTATCTCATCATGTGACGAAATTTATCCAATTCAAAGATGCTTTCTGATAATCTAAAAACAAATTGTAATAAAATTAATGGAAAACGTGAAAATGATATTAAATACGTATTTATGATATTGAAAAACATACCTTCCAAAAGCATTGATGAGAGCAACGATTTCGCTTCTTTCGAGATAAAATTGTTTCTTATTAAAGGTCATTAATGTTGATTCCCATTTCTCAAATTTTCCTGAGAACAATATTTTTAATGCTGTACCAAGACCCTGAATTTGGAGTTTTCCCCATAATTTACACTTGTCACATCCTACACAATCCATGATGCGAGAAATATTTCTAAAGTGCTGTCTAAACTCTTCCTTCAACAGTTGTGCTTCTGCGCCACCATTGAACATAACGCTTTCATTAAAATGATCTGGGAATGATCTGTAAACATCGACATTTGGTAATACAATTTTTTAGCTAATATTATTGACAATTTATGTACTTAAATTACTGCCATACAGAAATTTTGTTTTGAAGTAATAATAGTTACTTACTTGACAATATTCAGGAAATCATTTACTGCGAGTCTTGTATCTTTATCAATTTCATCGTTGCCAGTGTAATATTCTTCTCTTTCTAAATAAGGAGCTGCTTTGGCCAAAGCTCTTAATTCAATTAAGTATATAAAGTATAAATTTTTTAACCAGTTAGGACCTTCTCCACCGGTCATTTCCGGCGAGAACCTTCTCTGCAGTTCTTCCAGATTTGGTCCCCACTGGCCACCTGATACTACATCCAAACTGTCTTTTGCTGACAGTAAATATTTTGCACATAAATGAATATTAATGCTAGCATGTAAGCCTGATATGGCTCTATAAAATACTCGTTTTTCCAAACACATTCCTGAAAAAGAATTTGAACATGTAACATTGATTATAAATCACACCAAATAGGAATAATCACTTGATATGATAGAAATTGATATCTAATCGAGATTAATTAATCATTATAATTGATTAATGTTAATGTTCAAATATAATGTGTATATACACAGATATATATATATATATATATCATCTTATGATCACATGTGTGAAAAAAAGGGTTGACCTAAATGTATACTTACTGTTCATTTTGGACGATTGAATAAAATTATGTGGAGAATTTTCTGGCCTAAAATAAAATAAGGTATTAATATCTTTTTCATATTCTGTGTGTTTCATAATTATTTAATGAGTAAATTAAATGTTGCTTGAAAAATTTTATACCTAAAACAATTTTCCATATAAATGCTTCGCCATATTCTATGAGCACTGGGCCCTTTGTATCCTGTATATTTTTCAGGATTAAGTAATAAATCTACATATTCTCCAGGACTTGATTCTTTTACACAAAAATTATCCTGTGCATCATCATGCTGTTGCCAACGTTGAAATTCCTTATAATTTTCAGAGCTATGAAAAATTTGCGAGCGATTAACTTTATTATCGTAACATATTAGTTGATTTTAGTAGCAGGGACTCTCATATTCATATCAATGACATATCAACATTGAACAATGAAAAATACTAATTATTACCTGATAGTTGTATTGATAAAACTTAGTTCAAGATTGTGATCACGTGCATTTTGTTCACAATTAGTAGCTTGTGCATCAGCATTATATTTATCAGCAGGACTCTCATTAAAATGATTATGCCTTGATATCTCTCCCTTTAAACCAGCAGGAATATCTTCCTACAGATAATAATTTTTTTTAATTAGTCATAATTATTTATAAACATTAAATATAAGCTAATGTATATAGCCATATAATTAAAAATACTAGTAAAAATTCTTACCTCGTCACAATGCTGAACATGACAGTATCTTATAGCACATTTACTGTCATCAGCCCAGAAAGGACATTCTTGCTTCAGATTAACTTTATAAAATCTAAAATAATCTTTAATAAGGAGACTCTGTAGCCTTGGATATATTTTCATATTATTAAAATAATCCACTGTATCCACATTGCAGCTGCAGTCATCAATTGACCCCTTAAGCTAAAAAATATGGAAAGTATTGAAAACACATTGAAAACAAAGGGAATATAAGAGAAAATTAACAATCGTTAAATCATTACGTCGTTGATCTGCTTATCAGATTTTATTTTCATTTTGCATCTGCCTCATAAAGGTTATGTGCAACAGTCAATTTCAAACAATAAAACACCGTAACAAAGGGTTGATTATCTACCTTGCAGAAGCACTGGTCATCTTTTTTAGCGTTGGTCCCAAAATAATTTCCATTAACTGCTGCCAGGCCGAGCAGGAGTAACAGGACGATCCTGCTCGACACTGACATTGTTGCATGAGACTTGTGTCTCATCGTAATAATCGAAATGCTGACACCAATATTTTGCTTTTGTTACAAATGCTTGCGTAATAAAATGTTCTCAACAACACAATCCGCCCGTCACTGTCAATTGCCAGTCCCAGAAAAAAAATCTACGTGGATACACTGACAGGTACAGTGAACTGCATCGAAAAACATTCCCTTCAGCCTGACCAAGCCTGACGTATTGATATACATACACTGGAAGGCATACGACCTTTTTCCTAGCGACCGTTAACGAATCCGTATTCTGCACACCACTATAGTTTCTTGAAAATCCATCTACTTGTCCTTTATCCAGCACTGTCCAGCACACACAGTTCTAATGGAGCAGCTAAACAATTATTGGTGCAAAGTTGACATGCAAATTCTGAACTTGGTCCACGACTAATATAGTAGGTTCAAATTTGAGCGAATTTAAACGAGTTAATTACTCCCACTCCAATCAATCAATTTTTAACGTAGATACTGAATATGATTTGATTGCATGATAACAAAAGGTATGGCGAAATAGCATTTTCGTAGACGTAACTTAACACTAAACATACCGACAATTTTTTATAAATGTATTATTGGTTCGAAAAGGGTCAAATGACCCGTCGATGGTACGATTAGTGTTAATTATAAGCTTCAAATAAGTATACATTAGACGTTAAAATATTTTGAAGCACTTCCACGTGCGATATTTATAAAAAGTATTATACTGCGTTAAATGTTATATATTGTTGTAGATATCGTTTCCAGGAGGCGTATGGAAAATGTTGAAATTATAAATTGAGATTAATAGCAAACGATTAAGATTAATACCAAACGATTATGAATAGCGCGCATTGGCTGCATTTAAAGAACAAGCTGTGGGGACTAAACGCCCATTTGAAATATCTTTGACCAATCATACATGAACTCGTGGTTTCCTTTATTAAATGACAGTCCGAAATTCTATTTCTGACATATTCCACGCGACCTTCCTATACCGTTTTTATTTTAGATTTGGCACGTAGAAACTGATTTCTACATGTATAAAATCACGTCACTTTTATTTGTCATTCTATGAAAAGTTGATGTGTAGTTCCTTCATTGGTAGACTTTTTGATACCGTTATACTAGAAAGCTCATCTCCTTTCATAACAGCATATTTTGTGTCGCTATTATACATATACGTAATAATCTAGGCTGTATCCAGATTGCATTATACTCGCTGAAGATTAAAATAGAATACAAAGATTATATTAATTACAACATATAAATAATTGTCATAATTGTCATATGTTGCAATTCAAACAGACAGTGATAGTATTGACAAGCTGCACGTCCAGATGTTTTTTTTGTTTATGAAGATTTCTATTTTTTTTAAACATTGTATACATATAGTAATACAGATGGACTGTGGAATAAATATATAAAAATTTGTAATTTTATTTATACAACTGTACATGCAGCATTTATACGTGTGTACATTATGTTTATACGCCTGTGTGTAATTTAGATAGGAAAAATATATTTGCCGTGTATGACTTCTTATCAGGCGTTATCTCTCGGTGTGTTCAAATCTATGATTTAGAATTATTGATCATATCAATGTACGTCTGTGCCAGTATATCTAATAACGGAGGGAATCAATGTAATATTGACCATATAAAAAAATGTTATAATACTTTACATATATCGTATACTCTATTATTATTATGCAAACTAGGATTACTACATTATAGTTGCCCGTTACTGTATGTGATTGTATTCGTACGTTTTATCATAATCATATATTTCTGCAGTAAGATCCATATATGTAGATATATTTATACAAGACAGCATATAACAAAACCACTAATATACTGCTGCTAGATTGGTTGCCTAAATGCAGGCGAATTCAAACTTTTTTGCCACACATAGCAGCCTGTACAGAGTTAAATGTTACAGCAATAAAATAACGTAAAGACCAGTCCTTTATATTTTATACAGTACGGAATTTATTTCAGAGATACATTGTTCATTACATTTTTCTCGCAGGTCCAGTCTATCGCGTAATATTTAAAATCGCTAGTCTACAGTACAATATTTAAATATTAAAAAAAGGAATTAAACAGATGAGGGAAGAATCAGGTAAAATAAAATCAGATCCGATACTAAATTACGCTTCTATATCCTGCACGTGAATTTTATCGTTGCACAAACTTTAAAACTACCATAGAAAATGTTCACACAACCCTTATATAGTTTTACAGAATTATTTACATGTTGATTGTTACCGTACATCGGCATCGGATTACTTATTGGGCTATTATCGAGCTCCTATTACTAATTGTATTTAACAATTCTTAATATTAACAATACTTAGGGGCTTGAATGAGAAGAGCGGACGAGGGTCGATCAAGGACCAATACTCCAGTGCTTCAAGGAAAAACCTGAACAAATGTCATAAAGTACACTTATCGTGATATAATTTAGCCGTATAACTGGTTGAAGTTTTAAAAACATTATAATAACGTAATTATACTAAATTTAAACATTAAAAATTTCATAAGACTAGGAAAATGTATTTTTTGCCCAACATTCTCGAATGGACTCGATGTATCGAGATATCGGACATTCGCAACACTTAGCAAATGTTATTAATCACTTTTTATAATTGCTTTTTCTTTTATTTTATCATGAAATTGTTGTTTCTTCTAGCAGAGGAGGTCGTTCATTCATTCTTGTTATTTCTTACTTGGTATCTGCTGTCGAAAGTTCTATACGAACTTTGATTATTTGTTTTTGCAATGATGCTTGCTTCATAAAAGCAAAATTCCATGGTTAAACATCGCGTCCTGCACATAAAAATAATTTCACGGTTCTTCCCTCCTCGTGGATCAATACACTTTAATCTTTTAGAGCAACAACAGATAGGGGGATGTGGCAGTTTTTAATCAAGCTTTTATATTTTAATTGAGTCTTCTCGACAAGTTCATATTAAAAATAAATATTAACAGAAACAATGAAAAGATTAAAGCCTAGTAGCATCAGTGATCTTGATCTTGATTTTAAGAAGCACCGCCAAATCTTGAGTTTTTTAAAATGAAGTTAAAAAATTGATTAAATGAACCTACATGCGTTAATTACAACCACATTTCTTGCGGAAGAAGTAATCTATAAACTCGTAAAGGTCCAAACGGCATTAAAATATTCTGAACATTTTGTCGTGAGTACTTTGCATCCATTGATCTTCTTGGAAGATCATTGCTATACGTGATAGCGTTCATGATGAAAACGCTACTGACAACAGATACTGTCTAAAGTTTGAGAAAAAAGGAGATTTTAAACTTGCTCCATCCTTCATACCTCCAAGAAATCCTTGAGCAATGTGACTCGTCGCTTTTCAGCTATGTCCATTTGATTTTCAAGATCTCCACGATCTGTTGTCTCAGCACGTTCTATCTTCCATGAGAGATTTTCAATCTCGGCTTCCAACTGTGCTTGCTGATACTCGAACTAACAACAATACAGATTCACTCAATGTTACTTTTATGTGATGTGTACTATGTTGCTGCAGTGATTTCTAACATACCAATTCCTTCCGTGGTCCAGGCTCCATGTAATATGCATATGGATACGTATACTGTAAGGTATAACGACAACGAGCCAGTAAAGAAGCAGCTCCGTAGAGGTGTTGCCAGTCAATCCAAGTTCCACTTGCATTCATAACCTTTTTATTGATACGCATCTTTATTCCTTCTAGAGTCTGTTGCTCTAATTTCAAAGACTTACTGTGATTTTCCCACTGAATTGCATAAGATTAATTATTTTATGTGTATGTTTATGGATGCTATTAACTGATTGACTTACCCTTTCGTAATAGTGGAGATACTTCTTGAGAGCTTCGCGTGCCTGTGCGTGGACACTCTCGTGGGCGATATTAGGATTTTCCTTGTATCGTGAACACTCGTAATACTCACTACCGTGAGCTTTCCAATCGCCTAAACACATCCAGCAAAAATCATATTTGCAATTGTAACACTGCATGTGATTGCAGCCACCATTTTTCTCTATACAAATGTGACATTTTGGACACTGAAAAATACATTGTTTGTTTTCAATTAATTGTGTAGTGAAAAATCAAATTATTTAGTATTGATAGTTGGATAATACTGACATCTTTGGTGTGAGCACTAATATAATTGGCTGTTTCCGAATCATCGGCACATTTGGTTAACCATTTTTTAATCGTACTACAATCAGTAGGAGCATGGTAATCCATGCCACATCGGAAGCTGTGATACAAATGATATTTTCTATTATTCAAATAATAATACGAAAAAATTTGTAAAAGTATTTCACGTACCAAAATATTGTTTTGCACGAGGAACAAATAACTCTTTTTGCGCGATGTTCTTTAGACCGCATTACTATTTGACAATTAGGACCAGGGCAGAATCTTAGCTGAGGATGTGATTTAACGTAATCCCGAAAGGCGAATTCCTGATATCGTTCTCTCATACTGGGTTTAGTAAGAAGAGAGAGAACAAAATCTTCTGGAGCTGAAACTTCACACTCCTGTGCCATGCAACTAATGCCTAAAAAAAAGAAAATACATAGTAAACATTAAAATTGTTACTGATACCTTTAATAACTTATTTCATGTTAATTATTCTTACCTGTTGAGATACCCTGTGTGATTTGAACTTCAAAGTGCATGCACCAACAGTCTTTGCAAAATGAATGACCACAGGTCAATGTAGAGAAACGTTCGGCAGGTACAATTGTGACACAAACTGAACAAAGTCCACCTCGTGTACCTTTTGTGCCAAGATTAGGATCAGGTGGATGCAATGGTTTAATTTTTGAATTAACCAAAAGGCTAGAGGCATTGTTTCGGTACTTTGTGACAATATCTTGCAGTGCCCAGTTATGTGCGTGCAGGAGAACTTTGGCTAGCGATGGTGTAATGTGAAGACTATTACTCAATACTTCAACATTTTCATTTAAAAGTCTTTCAACTTCTTCTACACGAAGACAGTCATGTACTGCATATTCTGGATCTCTTCGAGTAGCATCAAGATCTATATCATTATCAGCCTCACTGCCCCATTGTTGAGTATTATAGTAATCCTCATAACCAGTGTCACCGCAGTCCGAATCGGAGTAGTCCATTTCACTATCATATTCTTCCCCCGACATCTGTATCACACAGATAATTTAGTTAATCAATCATAACCTTTTGTTAAAATCAAAAACACAAATGAAAAAAAATGAACACCACATCAATCTTTTAACAAAATAAATAAATCATTAATTATATGTATAATCAAACATTTTCTGCATACGCAACAATACACATGGCTCATGCAAAAACATGAGTACCCAAAATTTATATGCAGTCTAAAACTGACTACATGTAATACACATAAGACCAGAAATTTCAGCTTTCTACTGGTGAATTTCTTATCCACAAATATATACATTTAGATTAAAGTACAGTTGGTGAAAAAATCAAGTATTATTATTTTTATATATTCCCATAAAGTTGTATCTTCAGCATCGAATGACGTTTCGTATAGAAACACAAGAAACCTTAATAAGGCGGCCCATAAACCCTGGGTAATGGTTAGGAGAATAATCACGTCAACCAACGTACCTTTGATACTTTAAATATCAGGAAAAAAGCATCTATATTCAATCTCGTGAGCAAAACAGTTATCGAGAGGCTTTAGAAACACCACCTCGTGTAACCAGTCTACGCATATACTGTCGTATGAATTGGTGTATCAGTGCATGTGTACAGTGTCGTAATAGATGATTTAATTTCTATCTGGAAGTAGATGATAATAGTCTTGATTGATACGTATTAATGCAACAAAACTTATCACTTCGTAGTTTCCCAAGAGAACTAGTTTATGGAAAGTATAATCGAGTCCAGAGGGCCAACCTTGGCCGCGATAAAATGTATAGCTTGGAGTTATCAGTCGAAAACTTTTCTTTATTACATGATCGGACGGAATAAAGAATAATGAATCCAAATACTAATGTGATGTAAATTATTCTAATTAAGTAAAATTTATTACGCTGATCGTATGAAATTTCAATGTACATTAACATTCGGTGAGACAAGTATCTAGATTTTTCTATCTGCTGATCTACTCATAAGTAGGTATAGAAGGACGTAAAAGAAAGTGGGAAATGGAGTATCTTCGCAAATATCCGAATATGTCCGAAAGATCGTCGGAAATAGTCGGAAACTAACGAAGTTACACGATCTTTGCCGATAAATTTAAAACTCACTTCGCGCATGATTTGCTTCAGTTCATATTATCGATGTATTAGGAACTTGTTTAGTAGATACTATTACAATAATCTATGAGATTTATTCGATTTTTATAAATATATTGTACATATATTTACGTCGTGATTGGGTTGATTAGTAAATGAAGAAATTGGTTACAGCTTAGGATGGTTCTATGGCTATGTCTCCAGCGGAGTCAAGTGAGAGGTGAAATACGTGTGTGTTGCATATCTGTATATTAACTCCAATGTGTTCCGTTTGACTTCGGGAGAAACATAGCCTATAAGAATAAGTTGTATTAATTTGAAATGGCTAACTCCAAAGATTTTTTCTTATCTGTAACTCAACGGGTTTTAAGTAATTGGACAGCATTGAAGGTTCGAAATAAATGAATTTATTATTTCTTATTTTTTTTTCATAATAAGTTTTTATCTATGCAACTGCAAAACGTTGCTGTCGTGTTCTAACCTAAAATTTCTCTTCAAAATACTTTTGAATAATGTTTTGTTAGACTCGTCTAATTATATTTTTAATATTTCTTAGATGGCAGTAGAACATGGAATGGGTTCTAAGGAACGTGCTGAAGACTTCTGTCCATATATTACTGAAGTTATGTTTATAAATGGTAAATTTAATAAGTTATTATTTTAGTAATATATGTACTTAAATGTTTTATATAATTTATTTAGATGGATTAACTGCCAATGAAATTGCTGCTGAAATAGAAGATTATATGGATACTGAATTTAATACAGAATTGCAAGATGAGAGTTCTATACAAGTAGCAGAAGAATTACTTCGGTTTTATAATTACTGTAAAGAAGGAGATGAATCAACTGCAATGACAGAATTTGAAAAATTACCTCCTTTACAAATATGGATCACAGCAAGGCAAACGATAAAGCAAGTAGGAAATCAATCAATGGCTGAAAACAATGGTGATAGCTCTGGCAGCAGTACAGAAGAAGATGAAGATATGGAGGTTTCAGAGCCAGGATGGACAGAAGTGAAAACTAGGAGGAAAAGATGAAGTAAGCAAGTTTTTTCAAATTGTCTTTACTGTTACCATTGTATGTGAAAAATATGACATATATTTAGTCAGTAATTGACATCGGAGTTTGTTATTTATTATATCAATACCAAGGCTTATGCATTACAAATCTTGTACGTATAAAAATTATGGTACCTAAACAGTCTTTGTGTTGTTTGGCCGCTTATTCGTAATGGATAGATCTGAAATGACATGATAAATCACTTAAGTGTTACTTGATGTATATTAAAACAGTCTATTTTGTCTATTAACCTTCTCCATTAGAAGAAGTATGAACAGTCCAGCATCCATTTTGTTTCTGCAAAGTAGAGTTTTTCTCATCATTTATCTTCTTCCTTTCTTTGGGTCCTAATAAACTAAGAATTACTGGTAGGAAAAGTAGTCCATGGTAGAGACCAAAGATTACAACGGATGTAAATAACTGCATAAAAAGTTAAATGATTAGCTATGATCTATTAAATAACCAATTTTCCACATTCAAAACAAGAAATAAAAAATTCATACTTTGAAGAAAGTACTAAAAAGATAGGCCTCACTTGCACTTAATAGTACAAATGCTAGGAACGTACTAAAGCCCCCATTAAATACAGCAGGTCCAATAACAGCAAGCGTAGTAATAGTTCGTTCTAAAATAAAACGATTTTTATAATGAATTATATAGGTTCTAATAGAAAATCGGTAACTATCTAGCAATAGCGTGACTGTTTAATATCCAACCGTTCCTGGTGCCCGTCGCACGCGTAAATTCCAATCCAACATGAGCTGCATAGTCAACAGCCAGTCCAGCACAAAGTAGAACCATGATACTTGAGGAAATTTCAATAGTCAATCCAAGATAATACATGGAGCCCAAGAGATCAATAAGCGTAAACAATACGCAACAAATCACCCAAAATGATGCTTGCAAATTTCGTATTAACAATAATGTCACTAAAGCCACTGCTAATACTTCCAGACCTAAGTTCCTTATTAGCTCCTCCCCAATAATCTTGAAGCAAATTCATTGATTTTTATAACATTGTTATTCCACTGACAACAGAGATATTAAAATCAATTTAAACAGTAGCACGTGTCTAATACAACTTTTATTATTACCTTATTTGCTGTCCAAGATACATAATCCGGTGAAAATATGGCAACATGAGCATGACTTTGAGTGAAGTTTACAGCTTTCACAGTTTTCCTGATTGATTCCATAGCCTGTACTTGGTCAGACGTTGTATTGAGCAGTATATGCTGTATTTGAATTTGTGATGTCTGGAATGTAATTTAATTTATCCTGAGATATGTAACAAAAATGATCATAAACATTCTCGCAACGTCAAATATTGTCATTCTAACTGGTTTTCCCACTCACAGTAATATTGTAATCATCTATTGGTAATCGATCAAACTTGATATCCTTAATAAAAGCTTGACCTTCAAGAGTGAACAGCAAATATTCTGAGAGGTATCCAAAATATTCATCTCGATCGACAATCTCTGTAATTAAACAAAGCAGTTGTTGAGCAGTAATTTAAATTAATGTAATATGATGCTAGCATGCTTTTAATTGTCTTTGATGGTTTATGCATCTCATAAAATGGGATAACTTAGAATACCCTTATTTGTCTTGTTGAGCCACTTCTGATATCCCTCGAACCAGGAGTCAACTGTACGATTATTAACGTAAGGATTATATCGCAGAGCATTCATCAGCAAAGCTAATTCTGTTTCATCTTCATAGTAGTCGACACCTGCCATATAAATTCCAGCTCTCTTGCCATATTTTGGAAAATATTCCTTCAGTTTGTTGTGAAATTGTATAGGATACGAGTCTTGATTTAAGTACCACAGGGGATCGAAGTTCTGTTCAAGCTGAAATATTCCATAGATATTTACAGTTAAGAAGCAGCCAGTCAGAAATATCACAATCATTTTAACTGTTGGCTTGATGACAAATGGTCCAATGTATCTCTTAAATATTTCTTGCTGTGTGTTACGTTGGCTACATTCATTTGGTATCCATTGTTGCTTTCGTTGACAGCAACAACCTTCTTTATTTAACTCCAGTCGTCTCTCATCGAAGACCAGACAACTTACGAAGAATGTTATCTCAAAGATGTACAAGAAGAGGATGCCCAACGTGGCAAAAGCACAGAATGACTCAAGGAATGGCATCACAGTTGTAATTCCAATGGCAAAGGCTACTATGTTTGTGATGGACGTTAGTGTTATTGACATTCCTGAATGCTGCAATGCCTTTGCTATTTTCAATGGGATCTTCTGTGATTTATCACTATCCGATAAATTCTCCAAACTCTGCATAATAACAAACATGTCATCTACACCAATACCTAATAAGAGGAATGGCAATATTGGATGTATGGGACCATAGTAATATCCCATATAGTAACAAAGTCCATAGGCAGATAAAATGGCCTGACCGACCACTGACACTCCAACTATTGATAAGTAAATTCTTTGCTGCACTATGTTGCACCGACCTATCATGATTATTACGTAAATAGCTATTAATGATAATCCACAAAATAGGATTGTCATATTGTTATTGAGCACTTGGTGAAGAAAGTCAGTAAAGCTTCTGGAGGCGACAGCATACACATGCATCCCTTCTGGTAAACTGCGATTCGAATATAAAACTTTCTCAATGAATTCCAATTCCCATTCTGCAGAATGTGGATTTGATTTCTTTAATATCCAATTGAGTATCGTGGCTGTCGCACCAGTTACTCTTCCAGATTCGTCAAACTGCATATCGGAGAGTAACGCTGCGATATCCAAAAGCATATTGTTATTTGTTCTGAAATAAGAAGACATTGCTTAACGAATAGTCTACATTACCGTGGATATTTAAATTTCATTATTTATTACGTGTTTCTGAATGCTTTGTTTACGTCGTTTAATATTTCCTCCTTTGTAAAATTATGAATGTCTTTAAGTTTTTCATTGGACCATATTTCTAGAATTGACTGATATATACATTTATTCTCCAATGAACTCATGTTCAACTTATCATAGAATCCACCAATGAATTCAGGCTCGATCAAAGGCTCCTCAACGACGTCGGATTGAAACCATGTAAAATACCTGAAATTATTTACATATAATTTTTCAAGTATTAATCAAGCCAACTGAAACAGTAAATGGAAGAAACATAGAATAATAAGCTGCTGGAAAATCATTCAAGATTTTTTTTTATAGTGCTCACCCTGCGCATACGTCACGCCAAGTTTGGTTATTCACTACTATATCTTTTACAGCATCTTCCATGTCACTGATCTATGTTCAGAGGAAACAAAAAAAAATAGATGGGACAACTAAAGTATGGGTATAAAGAAACAATGTTACTTCTCTAAATAGATTAAGAAAACTTATTCAATTAAGATCATTATTCAAAAATTTTCCTCACCGCCTTCAGAACTTCTGGATCCAATACATTCGGAGCAATGACAATGATACTTTCGTATCTGAGATCATGATGGAAATGTTTTTTGACCCAATCTGCATCTGCACGAACAACTGAGTCCAACGGAATGAAAAGCTCAACATCGTCGATCTCTTCCTTCCATAATAATATACCTGGACCGCAGACTCCACTCACGCACAGTGATGCTATTAACCATAGCCAAGGTTTTGTACCTATGCTCAGTCCTATTCTGAAAATGTCATTAGCTTTATCAATTATCACTATATCATTCTTTCATACAAACTATAATTAAACATGCACAATATCTTAAGAGTATTATACTGATATCGTGTTACTGAAAGCAAAAGGGCGTACATAGGGTATTAACTGGACACATGCCCCTTTGTTTTTAGTCACACGCTATATGAATAAGTAATATAGATTGGGTTAAGATATACCTCGAAAATTATCTTATGAACTTTATTTAGATATAAAAGAAAACGTAAATTCATTAATATATATTGAACTTATTTCCCTAATGTTGCTTGTAATTAAAGCTTATAGAGAGTCATGTCAAATTTACAAGGTTGAGCAGCGGGGGGCGGGGTGAGTAGGTTCTCTGACCCCACACGGTTTCACTTAAAGATTAATCTTATACGATTAAACGCTATACAACGACTATTATACATGTTATTTTATCAAAAAATATTTAAATCTGTATAATTGCTTATCTCATTAGGATTATAATTAGATGTAGATTGGTTAATTGAGAGAAACTTATTTATAATTAATTTCTAAAAGCGGTCAAGAAACAAAGAAGGTACTAAGAAGTCTAACCAGCCCATGCTCTTTTCTCATTACCCTCTTACTTCCAAGAAATGCTAAGACATTTCAAGTTTAATTAATCATACGTGGTCTAGGTTATTATAACTATAAGATTGGTATACGAATAATTGTTAGACAATAGTAATAGTTATAAATCTAAGCGAGCCACGTGCTACGTCAGAAAAAAGAAAAAAAGTGACAGTCCGTTCTTATTGCAAGGCTGACCACGTCTTCTCTGCTTAAATACGTAATTGTTGCTCCATTAAAGGCGGGCATATGCCGGGACTTGTCGGCTCTACTTACTAACTAGAGTCTTGGAACATTTCGCACGCGGATGAAAACGTCATCTCAGAATGCCAAGTACATCTAAGTCTAGATATCAATATATAAAAATATAAGTATTAAATTTATAAATGAAGTTTCAATATTAAAATTTTAGGGAGCAAGTAACACTCATGCAAATAATAGCATAATTTTTTTTTATTCCTTTCACCTACACTACAGTTATTTAATTGACTACAGGAGTACTGTTTTTTCCTTACCGATTTTAGAAAAAATTCTATTATATGCAAAACTATACGCAACATCACTTACCGGTAAAATAAACAGTCAAAATTGAGATGCACGTTCATCAGCAAATCCTTGCATTGTTTCCACACGGTGTTCTTGGCAGCTTCTTGTCCAGGTTCCATGACGAGTTGTCACTGCTCCGTATCCAAATGCTGACTGAGCACTAGGGACGACCCTAGCAGCCGCATGTGCTACACGAACATGGTACATACGGTAGACGATGGAAGTAATCTACCATAATTATATGTATAACGTACCGTAGCTTCGATTCGCCTCTATGTAGGGACGTGACTAATGTCAAGTCAAATCAAGTACCCATAGCTAAGTAAAAATACCATAAGACTAACTTGATACAGTGATAGCGTATAACGTTGATCTTTAATATGATAACAAAAGTAAATACAGGTAAGTACTTTAAATCGATTTTGTAATATGTATTTATACAAGTATCTTTTGTTTAACGTGGGCCAAGATATTAATTGTGATAACGTACTTATTTATATTTAATAGACGTGATTACAATCAGATTGATATATGAGTGAACATTTTGAGAATTAATTTAAATGCAGCGAATCAAATTTTTATTCGATTTCTCACGTCCTACCCTTGAATGTATGAGCTTTCGCTTGGCTTAGTGTAAAAGCGGCTATTTACTGTTTTATAGGAAAAAGCTAAGAGTCATTGCATAGCGGTACAAAATGAGGATGATTGGACACGGGACCATGTACGGTAACGTGATGCAAGTCATTCAGCTGTTTAAATACGATATCAGCTAACCGAGAAGTTTGAGTATTCGCTTTGAGTCTGGTCAACTGACCTTTTAGTATTTATGACATATATTTTTGTCAACGGTCTGGGTCAAGTGGAATAGGTGCCTGCACTAGTTGCTAGACTCTTTTACTGGCTGGTATTGCATAAAACATAACAAGCATACTTTAAAGGTCTGATTCTCAGTAATTGTTGGCCATGGTAATTTTTCAAGGATTATTAACAACAGTTTTTATTATAATTTAAGACGCATTTTTGCCTCCACTTTTATTTCATACTTTCTGTCATAATCCTTATTTCAGGATAACCGCCTGACACTTTTCTATCTGCTAAACTTATATGTACAGGCATTAGCATATAGTTGTATATTTATTAATACTCGAGTATCTGATACACATACAAAATCAGATTTGTTATTCAAATAGATAAAGCACTGTGTCAATATTGAAATTACGTTTATTAATTGAATTAATATGATTTTATGTGCAAAGTATTTAATTAAAAGTAAAAAATATATTTTCTGTCCTCCTTGTAACATCAAAAATATCCTAGACAATTTTGCACTATGCCTCATCGTGTCAATCATGTGTGTGCTGCTTGTACTAATTGTAAGTAGGTAACCTATTCGGTGTCTGCACTATGAACACGCAACGGTAACTTGTGGTTTTGTTAATATGATTCTTAGTTATTTCTATTTTATTGTATTGCTCTTGTAGGGTTATGCCGGTCAGCAGACACATACTTATCTGTAATTACTGACGATTAAACCGGTTTAAGCTTTCGTGCCAGACAGTCCATTGAGTTTTTGTAGATGCGTTCAGAAAAAAAAGACTTAATATTTGCCTATACATTTAACTTTATGATACCTTCTACGTGTTTTGGATCTAACGATACACGTAAAAGATTGTCATTAGCCAACTATAATGCAATTGACACGTCAGTATGACATTTGGAAAGTGAAGTCTAACGAGAAGAGATTCATTTCAGTATTTACTGCGCTCCTTGGTGACACGATGAATAATACTATGAGATGAGAATATAAATTAGTAAGTGATGCTCGCTTATATGGAAAGAGAAAAAATGACAGTTTTATCGATACAACGTTTGACGATAATTTGAGAAAGTGAATTTAAAAATAGTTTGAGCTGATGACTATTTTTCAAATTTGTTGCGATTTCCATATCCCATCACTCTTTACACCGTCAGTGACTTTAACCTTGACAATATGACTGATAAGAAAGAGAAATGTGAAATTTCTTCATTCCATTTCAAAATCTATTTGAAAAGATAAATTAGCAGAGAGCTTTAAAAAATCGTTTATGTACAGTATCTTCCTTTCGTTATCATATTCTGTATGACTTATAGCAGGATGACTCTCTTGTATTCATGTTGATACGAATAAACAGAATCTGATAGTACACATTTTTTATGTCTGTCGTCCACTCTCTCGCTTTGCTGATTCAGAGTATCCATAACGGGCGAAAGCAGATTACTTGCGAGTGTGGTTTGACTTTCAACTATTCAACACCAATTCATAGAGATGGAAGGAAGATTCAATGTATGGAGTCGGCGTGGGTTTGACGATGGTGGCCTCAAGGTAGGGAATTTATCGAGTGAATGCCTTTCTCACAATTCGCAGATCCCTCAGTGTGTTCGCTTCCTCTCTGTCCGATGGACGTACTCCCAATTACTTTGGGAGAGCATTCTGGGACGCGGCTTTTCCAAATCTTCAAACATCGCGAAATTACGGCTATTCGCCATTCGTTGTCTAGTCACGGGTTTTCCAATAGTTTTCAATCGTCTTACTCATGTACGACAAAAGCAGACAAATACTGTGAGTACCATTTATATTATTATTGCCAGTACCGGAACTTACCTGTAAATCAAAAAAAAGTTTAAAATAATTTTAAATAACAAAAAATTGTTAATTACTATAAGCGTTACCTGTTTTCATCTTTATAATATTTTTTTTAGTTTTTCAAAAATGATTATATTTGATAGTATTAAAAAAAATAGTATTAAAAAATTATATTTGATGTACTCTGTTTTAATCACTTGTAAATCATTTGACTCTATAATGACTGACTGTGTCAAAATTTTTACTAATAAGTAATGATATTCGCTACAGATCGTTATTCTTGTAGTGGGGCGTAATGGTAAGCCAGAATGACTGGGAGATGATTTATATTAATGCGAATCTATAGAATCATTTCGTGTTTAGCACAACAGTTATATTAAAATTGGTGGAATCGTACATTTAAATCCGACACAGAGTTCGTAATGGGAATTAACGGTTTTAGAAAGTCATTGGCTATGCAAACGACTATGGGTCATCAAGTGTTCCTCATGCCGGATCATGGGGCACGTGGACGTTCGATTCTTTTTTTACCTCTCTTTTACTATCCTAAATTATGTGTATCTCTCTTCAATCGTTCCGTCCTTTTCTACTCTCTCCGTTTAGCCTTATGTTTTTAATCTTTTACTTCTGTCGCTTCTTTCGATTCTGCTTTCCTTTTCTATCTCCGTCTTGCACCGTTTAAAATTGTCCCAGGATTTCGTGCACCTACGTTTCTGGATTTTCAACCAAAAATCAACGAAAACATCGATGACCCAGTTGAAAAGTGTCACACCTACTAGATAATTATCCTACAAATCACGATCTTGTCAAATTAAAGACACGGCTGTCAGTGTCATCTATAGGAGTTATTTTGAAATCGCTTATACACCTTCGCACGAAATGCATCGTACTACGTAACAAAATTTGCGCAAGTTGTCACCTGGAAAATAATATAAGTTATTTTATTTATTTGACAGATTGAGAAGGCGTATAAAAATATATGACAACCTCGTTGTAAAATTCTTTCTAAGATTCGTCACCTTTGCGAAAATCTTACGTCAAACTTGCGCCTCCTTATATATACGCTTGTGAAATTCTTCAGAATTTCGTATTTACTTCAACAGAGAGATTTGTTCTTCATGTAAATATTTTAACAGCTCCAGAATCTCATTACGTACACTTTATGCTAATTACGCTGTACGTACACATACGATATCGTTATATCATACATGAGATGTATCAAAACGTTTAGAAGCCCTATGCTTTCCACTGTCAGTATACACTGTACGAAATTGTATATATTTTTATGCACGTCCATTCACCTTGACCGAAGAAAGTGTCACGCCAGCTTGAACCATGTTCGTACAACTTGAACTCAACAATCATCGTCACTCCATCACGAACAATGACCGCACCAGATTCTATTTTACTTCATTCCATTTGGATCCTTTTAGGTTAGGTTTTTTTTATTTCCGCCTAGAAAATAAAAATTGAAGGTACTCCGCGGCAATATATCCAATAACTATTTATATATATTAGCTGTCATTCACATATTCTCGTTGTATCGTCTGGTCTTCGTCCTCTAAGTCTACTTAATTTTGCCATCCCTATTTAATCCATTTCGTCTTCTTCATGCCGTAACTCGTTCTCGTTTACGCACGGAAATTCCCTCCTTTCGCAAACACGCAATAAGAACGCACTTCGATCCTATGTATGTATCTCTAGTTCACAACTGGGTCGCTGGAATATTCACGCGAATACCATTTACTATATTAATCCTCACATTTTTTTACAGTAACGTCAATTAAGTATGGTGACTCATGTCACGTTTTAACGATAATAATTTTGATCCACGACAGAGAAGTCCATTCTGCTTGCTGGGACTAAATTAGGAGTCGGGGAGATTGTGCTATCCTTTTTGTATATCTTCAGCAAAATTGGTTGTCGAATGGGAAAAAAATTACAAATTTATATATTCATAGGAAAAGACTATTAGTTCTAGTACAGAAGCAGGACAAAAATTCAATTTGAAAATGAATAGCTTTATACGTAAAATTGGAAGCATATAGCGATGCGCAAATACCAGTATGATTTTTCAATGTAATAATTTAGGTTTGAACGGTGTTACTAGAACGCACAAAACGGTTTTTTAAAAACATACTCTTCTATGGATAAATGATCAACTATTTTGAAGCTTCAACAATTATGGGTCTAACGGTTATACTTTTTTTTTCCGTCGACCTCCTTTGCGTCATGCGTTCTATACGCGTTACGCGTTCCAAACTTCAATCCGTTCCACCAGTATTTTCCGATTTAACATTCATTGTATGGAAATCTTAAAGATGCCTGATCGTCTCTTCCATACAAATAAGAATCACTTATGCGGTATTCGGACGTTCTAAAATAATTGAATGTTATCAATGCAATATCTCATACAGATTTTTTTTATGTTGACTAAGAGTGACCATTAACCTTGTTTGCTTTCTTTTTTTTTATAGAACCATGAAGAGGGTTACGTTATTCATTATTCTGTCGCTGGCGGCAGTTGATGCACAGTTAAATTTCGATGGGAATCCTTTAACGGATGATAATGTATACACAGCAGAAGAATCACATTTTTCCGAAAGATCCGCAAGAAAGAATTCACTGAGTAATAACGAAAATGAAGAAAATGTTGATTCTTACTTGGCAGCAGCAAAGAGCTCTCAGGCGGAGCATCCTCAAAAGATTTATCCTGTGGATGTAAAAGAATCTTTGGAAGATACAACAAAAGATACATTTGTTGTTAACCAACGTCAGTCACAACCTAACATTAATCAAAGCGATTATTATCAAAATATAGAAATTTCTGTGACACCTGCTCCAGAGAATAAGATAATTTTTGTGACACCTAGAAGCGAATTGGCTCAGTCACGTCTGTTACAAAGTATGATGCCACAGTCAAAACTAATCAGTTACAGACAACAAACACAAGAATCGCCCATGACAGTGAGCGATGTTGCGTTAAATTCGTTTTTGAATTCAAAGACGCTCCAAGAGTCCCAACAGGCACTGGAATATTTTTTGAAGAGCAGACAACTGGCATCTCAGGTTGTCCAACCGAGAGTCTCGGAAATTGTTCTTCCTCAACAGCTGGATCAGCAACAACAAGCTATCCAACAGAATTACAATATTGGTCAACAATTGGCAAATCCTTTGGACCTTCAAGGATTTTCCAATCCTACTCAATCAATTTCATTGAGCGAATTGACATCAAAAGACATTCAAGGACCTTACAACCTCAGTCCACTGAATCCACATCCTCCAGTGATACATGCAAGAAACGATTTTTATCGACCAACAAGATATCCAGGTTATCGTCGGCCAGTCAGGAGATATAATGTAAAACCATTTCATGGTCAATCAAGAATCGGTCCAGGTCCATTTTATAAAGGTGTTGGTCCTCCAGGTAGATTTCCTTCAAAACCGATCGAAGTGATCTATACAAAGCCACCTGGATTCGGCCACAAGTCTCCCTACTTCAGCAACCCACCAGTTCCGTATGAAGATGCCAGTGCTTGGTTCCCCGATGCTGATCATCCTCCTCCAGACAAGAATATTTATTGGTCTCAATTGTACGCTCAGTCCTACGATCCTCATTATTATAACTACATAGCGAAGACTGGCAAAATCAAGCCCCATCTCTATGGAAAGTTTGACAAGCATGATGATGGACTTTGGGCTGAGCTCTATAAAAATTTCAAAAGACACGGTCTAAAGAATATTATGACCCCGACGTTCTTGTTGGGTATGACGATTCCAGCAATAACTCTAATGCTCTCAGCTTTGGTTCAGAAGAGGTCTCTGGGTCGATCAAGTGACAGTGACCTTGTCGCTGAAGAACAGATTAAAGAATATCTGGAAAGAGTGCAAAAAGCTATCAAGTGCTACGACAGAGATTCCACGGACAGTCAAGACGAAGATACGGAGTGTTAATAGTGTAATATAAAAGTCAGGTATGAGTGTTACATGAACAATGTAAACTTGCTATTCAGGTTCTATGAATCTCTAGCGAGTATTATAACTTAAGATAATTTAAAAGCAATACATCTGTACATCCTTATTCTATGTATTTCCGTATTTATTACTGCTATTCATTAGACCATTACCAATCAGTACTTCCTTGTTTACATAATGTCATGGGCAAAGATATAAGCACTGCTAATTACAAGCTCAACCTCTATAACATAAATCACGCTCTATGATCTTCACTAGGTGTTCGCACAAACCACTAAGATAAAAGACCAGCTATTAATAGCAGCAATATCCACGTGATGTCACGTATGGAAAAACACTTTGCTCTCTTAACCCTCGCTACTTTTCTTACTATGCTTAAGTAAGAACTTTCGCTAACGCAAGCCCCTGTCATATCCTCATAACTGCAAGTATCATTAACAGGCATTGAATGCTTAGAGAATGACAGTCGAATCTTATGCTGCTGTTCATCGTCTGGCATCTCTCATTTGAATGCTCCGGGAAATTGAGTAAACGGCTCAATCTACACGCTGAGAGCAAGGACACACGTTCCATGACTTCTGTAGTTCTGATCGATGTTCATTCAGAGCGAAAATCCTTGTTAAATATTTTCACAAATCAGCAACGCTCCTTAACTGCTTCACACTCGAATGATAATAGCGTTGCTTCAGCGATTTATCATTTTACCCTGTAACAAAATTAACATATGTAAATCGATGTTGGTTCTGTTCAGATTCAATAAAGGAATTAGTCAATGAGATACTCAGGATAATGATTAGAGGTGGTTAATTCAGTTATTGGATCCTTATTCGAAGCAATTACTGGACCGGGCGTCATTACTGTTACTCCGTTACTTCCTGGCAACTGCTATATCGACGTGGAACGAGTGTTACACGGTTTTGCGGTCATGACGTCGCATCGTCGAATCCAGGACAGGTTTAGCAGGTGGAGCGATCGATTAAATCAACCTGGTTGGGTCCAATGATGTATGGATAGTAAAGCATATCTTCGATCCTTCGACAAGTGATCGTCATACGATAAATATTAATAAATCTAGATTATGTATAAAATATATTGTTTTTCGAATTCTAAAACAGTGAATGATCAAGTAAAGTATGAATGATCGTTCGATTACATAATATGAGTATATCAACTCAGAATGCTCATACGGCTGTTCTGAGATTATATTTTTCTTATGTAACCAACAATAAAATTTATTTGAAAACAAACGGAGATCCGAATATTTCGAAACTTTAGAAAGTAAGAAAAATAACCTTCCGCGTGAGATACAGTAAGTTCACACGTATTCGCAATACTTTTTTTTTCTATGAATATTCTTACAATGTATAACGAGTTTTCTTCTTTTTTTTTTGTGAATAAGTAAATGAATTTTCCCAGGAACCTTCTTCGTTTCACTGCGTCATTTATGTACTACGTAATTAAGCAATGTACTTTGATAATCTATTGTTAAGTCCATTGATCCTTATATTCTTACGTAATTGTGTATCCTTATTATGCATAAAGAACTAAACTATTCAGCTGCGGTATTGTCAGACGTCTCGGTAGAGATTTAATATAATCGAATTATTTAATCGAACAATTGGCGGCTTAACTCGCGGGTCATGAGATCCGAAACGATGTGTTCCACGAGATAACGGTCAATTAGTTTCTCTAAGAGATACCATTAGCGCAGAGATGACAAAATTCTTAATAACATACGGGCGTCAATAACGTTCTAGACGCTTCGTGATACTTCAGTCCACTGCAGTATATGTCACTTGTAACAATGAGTCAGTAAGAGCTTTGTCTTCTGGCCAATATTAACTTTTGTTCGCACTTGGCCCACTTTTGCTTTTCGCACTCGTTAGCGCTAGTAATTGACGCCATTGTCAATGATATGAGAGTTCATTGCAGCAGTATTAAATAATAAACGTCAGACCTTGTAGATATTACATATAATTTTTTTAATATCATTACTGTCACACCATAATATTTCACTGTATATTCTGATATAATGGACGCCATTGAGATTCGAATATTTAAAATTTAATTATACTTTCGTGTATTTATCTTGAAATAAATATTTTGAGAGGCCACTTTTATGTGGCTTGTAACATATCTAAGTCCCCTGAACTTAAGATATTTTATTCGTAAAGCTTATTCATCGAATTATCAGGGTTACTCTTTAGGTGCTGTTTATACGGAATAAGAGGATTTTTTGTTAATGGTTTGTATAACGTACATTTTTATTGCTTTTTTACTATCAACGTTATATATCTTGACTTCCATAAACTATACATACTACGGTCCTCGCAAAATGGAAAAACGCAATGCACTATTACTGTGCTTGTACATACAGCTTGTTGACCTTTATATTATGCGGTATTTAACACATCTTAAGTGGAAAACGTTTAAACTCGTTTCGTGCATATTATTATTAAAGCGCGGAAGCCGAGAAAAGTCGTTTTCTGCGTATTATCGGTAGGGTGCGGGAAACATGTAAATACGGGCTTTAGGGGAGTAATTATTATTTAGATACCTGCCGATTCTTAGAATTTGGGACGATAGTCGCGCGCTCTATGGTGAAAATTTGGCGAGAAAACACCCGCTTAAGATGTGTTAATAATAAAATATATATTTTTTATTGTCTCTTGTATAAATATAGTTCTATCTCTATACTCCTGTACAATTTTAAATTCCTAGAGCGTACGAAAAGATTCAAGATCCTGGGGAGAGCACTTATATTTTTCCTTTCAGCATCTCAGTGAACCAATAGTCTTCTTCAATCGTGCTTTAGTATAACAGAATATAATAGTCTTGTAAATATGAATATACAAAAAATAATACAGCAGTAACGATGTCACGTGAAATAAAGTTGAACTGCTACATTGGTAAAATTAATTACGTCCAAAAATCATGGCAATGGAGAAATATTAATAGAATCTTGAAAATACGTCAGAAAAACATAAGACTAAAAAATACTTAATAGTGGGGATAAAACGTATTTCATTTCTACTTGTGTTATAAGGAAAGTCTGGCTCTATGTGCCCTAAGTAGTCGGCTGAATAAACGTTATGTAGACAGTGGCGTAGCCTCTGAAATATTATCTAAGAGCACCATTATACGAACCCTAATTAAAAAAAATGTAAGCAAGAGTTTGATTATGAAATACAGTTTGAAAAAGGTTACACTAAAATGTTGGCAAAAATTTGTTCAAACAGTATTGCAGTTTTTAGTGGAAAAAAAGACCGTCGTGTACTTACGAAATTTCTTTTTGGTTCGTTATTTTATTTATCTTAAATTTGGGAGCGACGACAATGTTCGCATGCTACAACGATGACCAAAGGTTAAGACATTTTGAAAATGTTATATTTATTAAAATAACAATCAGCATCTCCGAAAACCTTGAACCTTTTGTCGCACTTGTCAATATTGGTAGAAATTACTAATTGTCAAATATACTACCTAGGACCTTGAGAAAAAATCAATTCTAGCCAAACAAAAGATTTAAAAAAGTACGAAGTTTATTTCCACATTTTAACTATTTTGCTTCTTTTAAGGCTTAAGAGTTTCCAGTTCGAAGTTATAAAAATTCGCAAAGATATTGCGCTTTTTGGCGCCTACTTTACAATATTCTACACAAAATAAACAATCGAACGGTATTGTATAATATAATTTCTATTTGCATTGTTATCGTCTATCTATCTATCTATTTATACATATATTACATAGTACACCGTACATATACTCAGGTCTATAATTAAAAAACAAAATTGACGAGCATCATTTTATACTTTTATCAGTTACATCCCAAGTTTGTATGACCAGTGTCTACTGACTATAAAAATCCTTTTGCTTTCAATTTGATCTTTACTATTAACACTTTATCAGATTACGGATTCATCGAATCACATTATAAATAAAATAAAGATTTTCAAAATTTCTTTCTCTTTATCATAAATCGCATCATATCTCAAATCTTCCATTTCTCAATTCTATTTTCAAAACATGCTGCATATATGAAAACAATTTTTAACTATCGAATGATTAACAAGGACATTTAAATAAATCTTTGTCATTTTTTTCTTGTATCACCCCGTAAAAACTATACAAGTTGTAGGTTTCTCTAGACCAGATATGGCTCAACAAAACTAGCCTTGTTTTCCAATTTTATACACAACTAATTACGAATTCGTTGACTTCTTAATTGTTTCTACATATGGTGGTCCATTAATTGTACTATCATGAGGAATAGTGAAAAAAATGTGTCTACGCCATGAGATGTGAACTTTACATACTGCATTATGTTCAAATATGCAAATCATCTCAATAAGCATATATGCACTATCAGCGATTGACTTACAGTCGATAGTGTGAACGAGTAACCACGGCGGGAGAAACAAAGAAATATTTCTACATAATGTAATACTCTTTGTCTAGTATCTATCTAAATCAGTATCGATTATTATAATCGTGAAATAATATATTTTACATTAGGCAAGTCAATCAAACGCTTCTTCCTTGAAAGCAAGATCAATAGCATAGCTGACGTCCTTTACAATAAAAGCCGGTTTACACAATGCTTCATCGATTGGTAAAAAATCTCGTGCACTGTGATCTGGATTGAATTCTGCATCTCGTTTATGTACACCAGTTTCTACTAGAATACTTATACAAGCTTTTGCTCTGGGAGTACCATTTTGCGTATCCACAAAAGGGACAGGACGTCTTGTCTTACTATCTTTTAGAGAATAGTGGCTTGATAGATATTTATCATATAGATTTGCTCCAAACACGTCAGTATTGATGTTGTCACTGAAAATAAAAGACTTATCAAAGTTACGAGTAGAGTAACCATATTGAAAAGAGGTGTACGTTTAATTCAACGATCTTTGGCAAATAATCGCGTTGTTTACGCATTCTAATTATAAGACTGAAAAATTTGATTTTGGTCGTTTCAATTATGCGAAAATGAGAGTGAAGAAAATTGTAAGCGCATTATGTTGCTCAGTCATATTTGGAAACTGATAAAAAACTATGATGATGTAACAGAAATGTTTTTTTTGTTTAAGACAAAATGTACAATTTGATTAGAGAATCTGGAAGCTTATAAGAATCAGAAATATTAATAATTGAAAATCGAGGAGAATATGCCAATATGATATATGCATATTTAGAGATATATAATATTCAGAAATATATACTTACTGAATAAATAATAATAATAATAATATAATCTCTAAATATTTTGTCCATCATGTGACAGTTTCAATGAAGACTGATAGTTGCAGTCAGATAATATATATTGTGCTACCTATTGCAAACTCTATTTTCGGATACACTTTCAGGGCTGAAGAGAACAAACAGAGCCAAATGATTTATGCAACTGTCTTAAGAGAAACGATAACACGTACTGTTAAGATTAAAATTGTATAGAGGATATTATATCTTTTATCAGAAAAACATGAAAGATAATTCCTTAATAAAGACTTCTCACACTTTTACTTGTTTCTTTAGTAAATGTTAGAGCTGCTATCAGTTAGACTTTTATCCGAATTAGAGACTCTTAGGAAGAATAGGTCATGGAATCGAATAACAGTCAATAAGCGACTTACCCGATTGCGTAGATAGTATTAATATTTTCATTAATCCCGATCGATTTAGCATGTTGAAGGAGCATTCTATTGGCATGGTGATATGTTATTTCACTGGGTTTGCCAACAAGGGCAGTATATATCATATTTTTGCTGGTAACCTTCTTATACAGATTTTCCAGGCAGAATAAATAAGCACCATGGCCATATCTAGGAATAGGAGCTTCAGACACCCACAGTAAATCCATATTGCAAGCGATGACAGGAATGTGAGGTTGAGGTATTAAACTTGGTAATGCGGATGGCATTCCATTTGTCATCAGTAAATCCACCATCAATTGTAACGATGTTTCCCAATTTATTGGCTCACTGAATAGTACGATACCTTCTATCTGAGGGAAGCTTGGATCTACTGGACCACACCTAGGGTTCCTTTTTGTCACATTTATGTAATCTAGAGAAGGAAAATTTTGCACGAGTTCCTCCATTGTCGTGGTTTTCTTAAAACCAAGCTCTTTTGCTATTTCTCTAACTGGTCCTTGCCCAGATATAAGAAACTGTCTATTATGAAACTGTTTAAACATCTGTAATGGAGAATGAGCCATTATCACCTGATCTTCGGATACTTCAAATCCTATCCATTTGGATAAATCTGCAGCCTTTTCGCTACGCAGTGCACTACCACTGTTAGTCACGAATACAGTTGGTACTCTAAATTTTCCATTGTCACCCTGTAGTCTTTTAAAAGCTTCTGGAACTGGTGGTAGCAATCTCTTCCCGCGCACTATCACTCCGTCAATGTCAAAAAGTAATCCAAACTTTGGCTTAGAACTTAATTGCTAAAAAAAATCACATGTTAATTAAAATATATATATTTTTCATAGTAAATATTTAAGAATATTACTGAGTATACTATGATACATATTTTAAACAATGATAATAACACTACACTATATATATTTTAATAATTTGCTATAATAACAAGATTATCCCCATATGTGTTTTGTTAGTATTACAGATAAAGTTAATAAATCATATAATATTAATTTGGCCAACAGTCTATATAATTATCTGTCACAAATAAACATAGAACCAGAGATACATTTCAAAAAACGTTACATCGTGAAAATAAAATACCATGAATTTTCAATATTTTTTCGAACATCCCAACACTTGCAAGGTAAACAAAAAGATATCATCAATTCGAATATTGACGAAATTCAATAAAAAAAGTCATAAACGATTGAATATTATGCTACATCTCTTTCACGATACTTTATTATTATACCATAAAACAGTGATTTATCACTTACAACTAAACAACAATAAATATACAGTATTTCATTTGTTTTCAGTTTATTTCAATTGTATATTCGATAGAAGTCGTACAATAGATACGGTGACATTATACAATGTTTAAAATATGAGCATTTCTACTGAATAACGTTCCGTAGGGAAGTTAAAATATCACTACGGAAGAAAGGCCTTTACAATACGAACGTAATCAATTATCCAGCAAAGGGAATAATTAACTCTTGTTACTCCAAAAACGTAAACACACGTGGTTCACAAATTAGATGAGAAAATTCGCGCACATTACGGTAAAGTAGATCGAGATACATGTGTAATGAGATTTTATATTCAAAGAAGAAGATAAATACCCGTAAAACAAGAGATGTTTCTAAATATATACAAAGTCATGCGAGGCCATTATCATTGAGCAATGTAAATAGACTAAGTGTGCATCTCTTGGTTACTTCCAAAACTTTTATCACGTTGAATAACATGATTCACAAGATTCACAAGGTTTTAACTCACTCTGGCTCCGGAGAATTTCTTGATGTCAGGCCGCAATAATATTTTCATGATTGCCATTTTCACGAGGGTTATTAAATAATGTATATTCAAATTCACAATTTAACTCGCGACTCGTGCATAATGTTACGTTTGCGGGTTAAAGCTGGCACAACCACAATACAATGTCTATAGAAACTGTTTGATTGTGGTTTTCGCGACCGCCCCGCCAGATGGCACTGATAATAGCGTTTTCCCATTTACAGATTAACCACAATTTGATGCCTATTTGTCCCTATGATTTTGAATAGTGTTAATGCTCAATGCACAATCTATTTGACATTTTATAAATTGTAATCAAGCTTTCTTGCTATAAATTCATATAGGTAAATAATGATTAGATTGTAAATGGTAATTTATATAAAAGTATTTTAACAAAATCTCTTGTTACCTAATGTAATATAATATGCAAAATTCTGCCTGTGTTGTATACAATGTAAAACATATTGTTCTAAGTTGCCTGGCGAAATATTATTTTTTAAATTATTTCTTATTCCAATTGTTTGATAGTGTTTCATAATCAATCATTTTTTCAGAAAACTAAAATCGAAATCTTGTGTGAAGTGGCCGGTTCTTCTTTGTTTTTAACCGGATTTAACAGCATTAAATATAAACGGTACATACATTTTGATCGAAACATAACATGCTCTCAACGCTCTCGTCTCACTTTCGAACACATCCATAATGCTTCGGAGCACGTAAAAACGCTTGGACGAACAGACCTATCGCTTTGGCTTTTCTGGAAAATCTGTTGACTATCAAACGTTTTTTACAAGCCTATGAAACATTATCAAACAACTATCAAACGATTGGAAGTAGAAAAAGTTTGCAATATTGCTGATTCAAGGAATTATCTGATCGAGAAATCGATTGTATCTTATCGATTAAGATCCTCGAATCGCATATGGTTTTTTGCATTTTTCCAGCAAACGATGGACTATCAAACGTTTCTATTAGTTAATTCATAACTATCAAACGATTCTGCATTGATTGAGCCCCTTAAATGCTAAATCCGATTAAAAACAAAAACGTGCCGGCAAACTTCAAACCAGATTTTGATTTTGATTTTCTGAAAAAACTATTGACTGTCAAACATTTTTACTATCAAACACTAAAAAATAATGGAATAGGAAAAAGATTGAAAAATAAAAGTTAGCCGGCCAACTTTACACAGATTCAAATTCTAGATACTTTTTAAACTATTGGTATCACTTATTCGAACTAGCCTTACCTTCGAAATAAGATGCGAATGTGGGCGAATATGATAGTGAAATTAGATTCCAATTATTAATTCTTTAATCAACTGTCAAATGACGTTTGATTTGTGTATCTTCAGTTATTTAGTTTTGTTAATATGAATATAGAATATTTATACAGTTTTCTTGTACTGTTTTTCACGTCGTATAATTTTTATATCGATTGTTGACGACGATAGTTGAAACAATCTTGTACAGTTTTGATCTTTATTGCTAAGCCAACATGCCAGGACGTATTAAGATCGGTAAATATATATAGATTATACTAGATAAAATAAATAAATAGCTATATACAGTATTGTCATTGCATTGCATATTCTATTTTTTCCATTATATCATTGACATTCTATAGATGTATGAATAACATATGCTTTGTAATACAGTCTTAATAATTTAATTTTGTTATAATTTTTGTATAAATGATTTCAGATAAATATAATTATTTGTTCTCTTGTATATACCATTCTTTCAATTAATTTCAGATATAATACCTCAGGATTTACGGCAGGAGGAGACAATAGTACAAATAGCAGAAGCTTTGGATAATTTGGATTCTGCTGTTTCTACTGTGTTTGACTGTATCACTAACAGACTGTCTGAAAATAGTAGCAGGTAATTATCATATTAGTAATAATAATGTATAGTTGAAGATATTTGAGCTTCATATTTTTCATACTTGCTTTCAGACTCTCGAGCATTAAAGAAAGGGCCATAAAGCTTCAGGGTCGGTTAAATTTTTTACAGACAAACTTAAACTTGAAAGCTGTAAAAATGTATTCTGCAGCAAAATATCCTGCTAGTGACACATTTAAAGAATATTCTATAGCTGTGCAAGTACAGCCAAAATGTAAGGATTCTTTAGAAACAATATACAAAAGTCCAGTTCCAATAGAAGAATCGTCAAAGGCAAATCTATCAGCTAACAACAAAATGAAGAATGAACAATATCAAGCAAATACAAATCTAAAAGAAAAATTGCAGTTTTATCATGTGAAGACAAATCCTTCTCAAAATGTTGACAACAAAGAATTACTTGAGGACAAAATACCACCACATTTATCTTCTGTCAGTGCATTGCTTCTATTTAATAGCACAGATAATCCTTATAAGAGATCCTCTCAACATGCTGCTCATCATGTTATCGATAGTCAGAAAATTGAGGATGCACCTGATTCTATTCTTCAGCCATGGCATTTGACAGAAATGGAATCACCATCTGGCTACCTTTATACTCCAACATTGGGAGAAGTAAGTTCAATATCTCATTACAATTAATACAGAGTATACGTTGAAGTTAAACTATAAATATATTATGATTTTTTCAGTTGCCACTAATCAATGTTCCACTAACACTCCCAGACCTGCCTGGTATTGTAGACGACGAACGATTTTCACTTGATCTAAATTCTCAAACTCCAATAGCACCTTCTTCAGCAGTAACAACACCGACTGTGCGACTTAATCTACCATCACCGTTACAATCATCAGCCGACGAGAAAGACAATATAGAAAAGATCAGGCAAGAAACACCAAATTTACCGAATCTAACCGAGGATATGACCTCGACACAAACTATTGGTCCACCTCCATCACCTCCACCACCTATCATAACAAATCAACCAGAACCTCCTCCACCTCCTGAACCTCAGTTAAAGTCTCAAACGAATATAGCCCCACCACCGCCACCACCTCCACCTCCACCACCACCACCTCCAGCATCAGAGGAACAATCGCAACCGGAAACATCGTCGAAGAAAACGAAACATTCTTCAAAAGCAAAGGTGGAGACTGTCGATGTCCATTCGAACTTAATGGCTGCTATTCGTAATGCTGGTGGACTTGGAAGAGCGAAACTGCGACATACTGCTCCCGATGAAAAGAGTGAAAAGCGCTGGTCATCAGCCTCTGTCGGTGGCGATCTTATGGCCGATCTTTACGCGAAATTATCTTTGAGACGTAAAGGAATAGCAGGTGCAACTGCTGGCGCATTGGAGAAAACATCAACTCTTATTCCACCAACTCCAAAACCCAATGAAGCTACAGTTTCAGATAGAAATTCAGCCACAAGTGAATACGACTCGCAACCAGATACTGATGACTGGGAAGAATGATCTTTTTTTCTATTTTTTTTTGGATTTGAAAATACAAATGGTTTCTAAAAATTAACATCTAACATCATTTGGACATGAGTTGGATGGATCAAGCATTGTGATTTTATAGTTTAATCAGATCATTTTAGTGATATCAAGGAGTTACAGAAAAATGGTTTGAACAGAAAATGCTAAAAGTTCAATGTTAGGAGATTCGTAAAAAGTTTTAATATGTACATGTATGCATATATCAGTTATAACGAATTAGAAATCAAGGCTAATTCTGTATGAGGATGAATTATAATTACTTTATGAGACCAAAAAAAATAATTTGCTATTGAGCTCGATTATTTATACAAAACTGTTTTTAATTAACAATATATAATTGAAATATATTTAAATTGGATCTCTGTTTAACTATTCAAAATTCATAATAGATTACGTGCAGCCGTTTGAAATTTAATTTTTACAAAATTCTATAGAACTATTTTTCAGTATGTCTTATTGATTCTAAAATGATTTGCCTAATCTATGGAATTGGATTTTCTGAATTACTTTAATGCAGTGTCTTATGGTTTCTAGATAAGAAATATATAAAGAGATTCATGCTATTGACATTATGAATGCTGCCATAGCTTTGTCGGATGAGTCTTATGGATCCCTAATTAAGTCAAACTCTCAAATATTATAATTTTGACCATTTATGAATCCAGTTTTTCGACTAATCTGACAAAGCTGTGAAGGCTACCATATATTGAAAGCAATTTCGTCGAAAATAATTTCAAATGTCTCCTGTTATTCATAATAAATTTATTCATAAAGAACAATTAATGAATGAAGAAAAGTAAAGACTAATAAAAAATGTTTCCTCGAATTATGAGCTTCCTTATAATCCTTTTAACAAGCGGAGATGAAACAAAAGAGATAAAGACAATTTTTTAAAGAATCTATATTACTTTTAATTCCTGTGGAATATTTGTATCATCTGATAACGTCTTGTTAGATAACGTTTTACGTAACATAAATTGTTCCCCTAATTTTAAAATCATTTTAAAGTTTGCCATACCAATGAATACATACGACCTTCTGTTTCGCTGAAAATACAATGAAATTTAAAGCACAAATTTCACAATTACCTTCAATTACATTCTTCATTACGGCCTATTCACCCCTATTAAATAACGTTAATCGTGATCTATTAATAAAAATTAAAAAAGATAAATATACACAGATTGTGCCTGATTGTGAGTCTCAAATTCGAAGGTATCCGACGGCGTCTGAACCGACAAGACGCGAGAATCCACGAAGATACCCGAAGTTCCCTCCATACGTCAGTTGGTTAGTTGGGCTGAGTTAGTCATTCTCGAGAGACCAAAGAGGTCGAAGGTTGACAAATTATTCAGTCATATCAGTGTAGTGAATATAAAGAGACTCTAGTGTTTTAGCGAACGCACCCAATGTACGTGTTAACTAATAAACTCACCTGATAAGCAGAAAGGTGTACAAAACTAATTAGAAAAACGAAAAAAAGCCACGGAAAATGGCAGGGATCTTACGAGGCCGTAGTTGCTTTGGTTTGGCGTCGGCCTTCCTTCCATTTGCTCTACTCGCAATTCTGGCCTTCATGAAAGCGGTAAGCGACGACTATTGAATGCCTTAAATCTAAACATTTATTATTCTATCGGTCTCAATGCTTATATCATGTTATGTACAAATTATATGATAAACGTACTAATGCGACTTAATGCATCAATGAATAACAAAAGTCTCCTTTCAAGCAGACATACGAAACACCTAACATTTTCTTTGCTGATGGTGACGTCATGTCGTACCACTGGCAACGGTGGCCTATCGACTCTCGCCTAGTTTATTAAATTTAATTATACCATCTTAACGTTCGTAAGGTCGAGCCAGCTATATAGCCAATAGTCGTGTGACAAATTGAAGATATTTAGACTGTCAATGACCCATGTATCATTCTAGCTCTCCCACTTAAGACTAAGGGAAACTTGATGTCGGCCTCATTTTATAAACATCTATGATTCGAATATTTCTGAATTTGAGAGCGTCGCGACGCTTTGAGTGTCTTTTATTATAAATCTTTAATGCACTACAAAAAGTAGAAACCTAGACATTTCTTTTTATTTAAAATTAGATGTACACCTTCTTTCAGACATGTTTTTTCTCGTTTGACGTGTGTACTGTGATTAACATGATTTATGCGTCATCTACAGCGTAATTCCTTGATATAATTTTTACGAGTGACATTTAATACGATTCTTCATTTGTGCTGATTATTCCGTGTTGATAGCTTTTGTTGACGATTTGTCATAATGATTCTTTATTTTATCACTCTCGTTTCTTTCACTCCGTAGCAAACAAAGACTTGGATGAGTAACGCTGAATTTTTGTTTTTCAAACAACACTTGATACATTTTTATGCGATGGGTTCATTGAAAGACATGATATAATTTCTGCCTTTCAAGATTGACTAGAATGAATCTTATTTCCAGGAATTGTTGCACATCGTGTTACAGTGACTGTGAAGGATTTTTTTTTCACTTACGAATAGTACCTCGTCAGGAAATGATTAAATTATGCATAGTATTCCTTTTCTGTTATAAGTTACGCATTGTACATTAATAAATACAAACAAACAATCCACAAATACTTTGTCAACATTCGGTAAACATATTGTTCTGAGATCAATCTTATTTCGTATAGTTTAATACATAACCCACCGTTATAAAAATAATTCTTATGATTTATACAACATTCATTTTTCAGAAAAAAAATAAAACAGGTCTCATTAGTCATCGTCGTCAATGATATTCAAAATGGCGTGCCTACCGAATGATTTAACTAGACGTGTAAAAAAACAGTTTTGTACAATTCCAGTTTCACTTCAGAAATGTAGACTTCCTCGAATATTCCATACATTTTTTGTTATCATTTAGATAACTTCATATACTTTTTCACTCATCTTTATAATTAATTCCTTCTTATCACTCGTACACTAAACTTGCTTTTATCCAATAACTGATGATAAATTTGTCCTCGGTATGATATTTTACATCTTATTATGCTGTTCGAATGCAAGTACATTTAAGTAGTGCTTACTGACGTATGTTTCTTCTTCTTTCAAGATATAAGATTGTACGGTCCAAATGTATAATTACGAAAGGTTTGTCAGCGCAAATATTCATTAGAAATGACTCTAATACTAGGACAGCATCCTCACCACGTTGTTACGAAAACAAATTTCTATACGATTCTTAAAGCATTCAAACTAGCATTCTTTACATATACTGTAAATTCCCGATTGAAAATGGTATCCTTTGATTTAGTCGCTCACAGACAGAGATTGCGTGTCAAATTGCCTCCAATTTTTCTTTTAATTCGACGTATTCCGGTGCCAAACGAATCGTAAACAAAAAATAATTAGTTATTTTTTTTTTACTTCTTTAGCAGAAAAGGATAATTTTTTTAATCTTTGCTTAGAGGTTTTCAAAGCATTTATCCTTATTCGCGATTCAACTTTATTCCGTGCCATGGTTCCTGTATCGATACATACGTGTCATTGTCACGTCATCTATCCTTTCTTGATAAGCTTGACGATAAGATTATCATTTTCCATTGTATTTACGTCTCTCAGAAATTAAGAGATCTACTGAACTTATTCTTCCTTTTCCTAGCAATGCTTATTTTCAAGGCATATAAAAAATTGCACAGCGTCAATGAGCAAAGTTCAAATAATGCCAGTGATTAATGAGATATGCAATGTAAAATTATCAATCTAAACATTTAATTAATGATTTATCATCTGAATAATACAGTTGTGTTTCATATCATTTATATTATCCTGGTATAAATTAAGGATGTGTATCTAATATCCTTCATATACCTATAAAGGAAAGTATACTTGACTTAAATTTATCTATATTATCTATATATGATAGATTTGCAGTGTCTCATAAAATTTTCCTTTGTTTCTAATTCTGTGCATGATTTATATGTTTAATACAAACAGGATAAAATATTGATATAACTATGTATATGATAAATATACTTTGTTGCATTTTTGCGATACACTTATTTTTTTATGTAATTATCAGTCTGTATCCAAGAGCCATTTTGTGACACTTGTTAAATATATCAATTTGACTGTCTGACCTGCTGTTAACTTTTAAAATTTAATTATACTGATATAGACTTATATCGTGAATGTATTTTATGTTACTGATAACAACTTTTCTTTATATATTTCTTATTTATATTTATATTTCTTTTAACATTGGATTAGTAGGAACATGCTATGAGTATGTGTTTCATTTATCTGATAATACTGAATTTGTGATATTCAATTTTTGTTTAATTCTCTACCACTATATAATCAATTGTCAGTTGCATTCTAGTCAGTTATCAAATTATGATACAATGTTTGTATTTATTGTACTGTTATGACTATATCGATTCTTTATTTTATGCAGTACAAAATACCAGTCAATGAGAAGCATTCTTTGATATTGAACAGCAGGATACAATTTGATGATTTTACGATTAAACTTTCACTTATTTCTAGCCATCAATTAACCATCATAATATTTTGAAAATGTACTTTGTAGGATTTTTTCAAAAGAGCCATTAACTATTCAAGATATCAGGAAATACAATGCTACTGTCGCAACTCTTATCAACAGTGAATGATAAATCATAATTATTTCTTAAAAGCCTATTTGATGCAATATGAGTCACTTATATATATACATTGTATTATTATGTTCAATTTACAGACATCAGCTGCAAATGATGGTCATTGCATTTGGTATGGGCAGTGTTACGTAGATCCAGTATTACAACATAAGAAAAATTGTGTGTACAATGGCACAGCAAAAGTTTTGGATACTGAAGGTCAAATACTTTTACACAAATTGTGTCCACACTTACTGACTGACTCTGGCGATGGCGTGCGCACGTGCTGTGATGTTGAGCAGCTCAAGACCTTAGACGCAAACATTAAACTAGCTTCAAACTTCTTAAAGCGATGTCCGAGCTGTTTGAACAATCTTCAGAAGCACTTCTGTGAATTCACATGTTCACAAAGTCAAAGTGCTTTCATTAATATTACCAGCATTGAAGAGGATGCAAGTAAGTTTCATAAATTAAACTAAACATTAGAATGAAGATTTATTTGGTCATGATACAATTTTCGTATCAAATATTGACTCGCAATTGCAATTAATGGTCGTTAATTTTTTTTTAGACACGACCTATGTCGATGGTATCGACGTTTACATAACTAAGAAATACTTGGAAGGAACATATAAGTCATGTAGTCAAGTATCCGTTCCCAGTACGGGTGAATTGGCATTAGATTTAATGTGTGGCGAATGGGGGGCAAGTCGATGCAGTGCATTTAAATGGTTCCGCTATATGGGAGATGCTGCGAACAATATATATGTACCGTTTCAAATAAACTATATTGAGACCGATGCACCACTTAATGGTTTTACACCAATGGATCCAACAATCACGCCATGCAGCAAACCTTTGAATGTGAGTATTTTGTGAAATTAAGTTAAACAGACAGTATTAGTTTATTCATTTGTCGACTTCTCGAAGTTATTCCGATACAACCAACAGAGAAGTAATCAACAATGCAATTATTAAATCTTTTGTAATTTTTTCAGGCAATGTCTCCAGCCTGCAGTTGCTTGGATTGCGAGGCTAGCTGTCCGATTCCTCCACCAGCACCACCAATACCAAAACCATTTACTATTGCTGGATATGACGGTTATGCGGTTGTAATGTTGATCATCTTCGTTTGTGGCACTATTCTCTTCCTCATGGCCATTGTCTGCTTCAGCAAACGAAAGCAGATCGGTAAGTATATAATATATTAGTGAGTGTAAAAACAAATGAAAAACCAATTACTACCTAAAATTTTAGTTTTCTTAAATGATTGTTTTAAGTTTTAGCAGCCATTTACATCGTGAATACATTAAGGAATCGATTTTTATGTTGTTCTAACAATATTAATTTCACAGTTGGTTTTGGACTGTAATCATCCCAATTTATTTATCTTTTTTAATTTTTTTTACGTTACACTTTTATGGACAATGAATTTTATGGCTTTGGTGAACATGAGCATAAATCTCTATCTTTCTTCCTCTTTGACGCATTGCCTGATGGACGTTTTTTTAAAAAATGATTGTTCAATTTATCACGGTATTGTAATGAATAATAATGAAAGAAATGTGAATGAATACACAAATCAGAAACGATTACGTATGTATATATCCCTCATTCAATGCGTTATATAATGGTGTGCGCTTTGAAATATAACTTTTTGTGTGAGGTTTACAGTTTCTGATATATGGGATGACTGCGATTAAACCGAAACTTCTCTTGAGATTGCTGTGAACCAAATAGCTATCGAATAGAAAGTAGAAATAATAGCGATTTTCAAGGTACACGAGTACACTTCTAATTGTCAAAATAAATACTAGATCAATTGACGTTCACCTTATTCAATCTAAAATCTGTCACCTAATAACTTAACTGTGCTTATTTATTGAAGCATATAAGTGTTTGAAACAATAAGTTTATTCAAATAAGTATCACTCAAAAAAATGTAAACAGGTTTAAAGAAACTTCATTAAAAATTTGACATATGGTTCGATCAAACGATTTCCTCCATAGGAATCTCAAAGTTCATTCGGTTTTCTAAAATCATGACAATAAGGCAAGGGCTACGACCGACGTGTATGTATGATACGTGTGTACAGTTGCACGAGGCGAGGTAGTGGGAAGACAAGTGGGTAGACGATTAGCGGCCGGGCTCCATCATCCAGGAGACGGTGCACGAATTGCCCTTGCAGCGGACCAGGAGGACAGCCCGCTTCAATCTAAACGTTCCAGTACGTTCCTCTATCTTTCAGTTCTACTCTTCTACTGTTTGACAGTACTGTGCTCCTTTCTCTTGTCTCTTACGTTCATCTCTTCTTTTGCCGTTTTGACGCTCGTATAACATCTGTTTGTGCATGTTGATTCGCTTTTAGTCGCATTCGACGGCTTTGTTCTTTCTCAGGGTTGAAAATGTCTTCATTGTAGTTTTGCTTCTAGCTGATGATTTGTGATGTGATCCATGCCCGATTAGTTGTTAATTGTTTTCAGTATTGTTATTGCCAGTTTTCTATATTTTCTCCCAATCCTTCGTGACTAAACAGTAACCGAAGCTCTGTGTTCTTATGTTATAATTTTGTTTGATGTTGCTTTCATGATTACGTCCGTTTCATTCAATTGTTATTCAAATTTATTTGAATTTTGATAATATTCATAAGTAATGCCGTGAAGATGTAGGCTTTTTTTAGCAGTTGTATAGCAAGTTAGACTTTGTTAGAAAGTCATTGTAAATCTCTGATTATGTGCATAGCAAATTGTATTGAAATGCTTTAAACGATCGTTCAAACTTGAATAATTGTAGTTCACTGATTCAGAATACCTTTTGATTAAGGTAAAATTTTATTTGGTTCAACCCTTACAGACCTGTAGGTAAAATGTGTCCCATTAATCTATTACCAAGATGCGAGACCTATAGATCTGTAAGGGTTAAATAAAATACGGTAGTTGACAATTATTTATGTATTTCAAGTTGCATTGAATATTTATAAATGCTACTAAATGCAATAGCGATGCAATCAATTTTATTCTTAATCAGTGAAAAACGATTACATCATTTATAATATTCAAATGTTAAACATCATCTTCTCTCAGGTGTTGTATCTGTTGATGATTTGCCAGCCGATTTGGTTGATGGACAACCAAACTGCATCGAACGTCTTGGAGCAAAAATGGACGTATTGCACACAGTTTTCTGTTGGTGGGGAACCGGTAAGTTAAATAGCTGTGTAAACGAAGCAAGTAGAAATAGAGAGAAAGAATATTCAATAGCATTTATGTAGCGAATAATTCTTTTTGATACATGAAATTATAAAATTGTTTTCTTTATAAATGATGGCTGATGCTTTTGTACAGTTTGTGCTACGCGACCCTGGCTCATTCTGTTCCTGGGATTGTCGTTCGTGATGATACTAGGACACGGAATAAAATATCTGCACGTTACAACAGACCCAGTGGAACTCTGGGCCTCTCCACATTCACGATCGAGAGTCGAAAGAGATTATTTCGATAGTCATTTCGAGCCTTTCTACAGAACCGAACAGATTATTATTTCAGCAGTTGGTCTACCCAATGTGAGTTGAACAGTATATGAGCAAAAACATCTTGTTCAGACTCATTGATTTTGTAATTAGTACAACGAAACGTATTATATTACAATTGAGATGAAGTTAAATATACTACAGTTTAGTAATTTGTTGCATTTTTTTTGTTGCAGATCGTTCACAATACTTCAAATGGTCCTATTACTTTTGGACCCGTGTTCAACAATAGTTTCTTACTAACAGTATTAGAACTACAAGAGAGCATAAAGCAGCTTATTACCCCTGGGAGTTATGCTCTTAAGGATATTTGCTATGCGCCTATGAGTGGTCCTTTTTACGGACCGCGTGCTGTTTCTCAGTGTGTCATTCAGAGTATATGGGGATACTGGCAAGATAGCGTAGATACTTTCAACGAAACTGAGGTAGATGAGAATGGCTTTGAAGTAAACTACCTTGACCATTTTATGGAATGTACTGGGTAAGTCTTTATAGTTAAGACTAAATTTAAAATTAATTGTGGCCATTTGATGTAATATTCTTTATTGCTGCAGGTGCGTTAATATACTTTCTATTGTATAAATCGTTTTCTTTTTTTTTTTTAGAAACGCGTACGGTCCAAGATGCCGAGCGCAATATGGAGGACCCATTCTTCCAGATGTTGCAGTTGGCGGTTTCTTAACCCCGGGACAAACTTATAATCATCCACCGTATGAGGAGGCTACTGCTATCATTCTCACGTTTTTGGTCAATAATTATCATAACAAGACCAAATTGCAGCCTGCTATGGAATGGGAGAAAACGTATGTTACCGTTTGCTTTCTAAATATTGTGCTGAGTTATATGAATTTACGTTTGAACAATTTATTCATATTTTGTTCTGCCTCAGCGTTACTGGGCACAGATTAGTACATACTAATTTGCATTCAAAAGGCTGTCTTTAATATTAAACTCGCGTTGAAAGCAGTGACATATCACAAACATTGGCAATATTATGTATACGTGAGAGGAATGAATAAGATGGGGGCTAATGATATTATTATACACTACTATTGACTGTCCGCAGTCAATAAAAATGTTTAATATCTACTTTCTAGTTTTGTTGAGTTCATGAAGAACTGGACGGCGACCAAGAAACCCGCTTACATGGAAGTGGCCTTCAATTCGGAACGTTCAATTGAGGATGAACTCAATCGAGAATCTCAATCAGACATTTTAACTATCCTTGTCTCCTACATCATCATGTTCGCCTATATAGCAATTTCTCTTGGCCAGATAAGAACGTGCAGTCGTTTGCTGGTAAGACAATCAAAAGATAATGTGTTAGATCTAAAGATATAAGAATAAAAGTAGCTATGGAAATTTCTCGCCTTCTTCAAAACATTTGATTGATTATAATTAATCCGTCGTTTGATGAACTTTCATTTACAGATCGACTCGAAAATAACCTTGGGTCTCGGTGGCGTATTAATTGTCCTGGCGTCAGTGATCTGCTCTGTGGGTTTCTTTGGATTCGTTGGACTTCCTGCAACTTTGATCATTATTGAGGTTATTCCCTTCCTGGTGCTCGCAGTCGGCGTAGACAACGTATTCATCCTGGTACAGACGCATCAACGAGAGGGTAGAAGACCCAATGAGTCTATTCCCGAACACATTGGACGTACTTTGGGTCAGGTTGGGCCTAGCATGCTGCTCACCAGTTTCTCTGAAAGTTGCTGCTTCTTCCTCGGTGAGTTACACTTGCGGTACAAGCATATATATATATATATTTTCTTTAAGCTTTATTTCTTTTGGATTTCGGAAATATATGTTTCTTTGAAATTTATTGTGAGTATAATTATTGTTAATTAGCAATTAATTGGCTAATAATAATATTTTTCTAGGCGGTTTATCCGACATGCCTGCAGTTAAAGCCTTTGCGCTGTACGCGGGATTGGCCTTACTCGTTGATTTCATTCTTCAGATCACCTGCTTTGTCAGTCTTCTAGCCCTGGATACTATTCGACAGGCTGTAAGTATCAATGGCAATATGCATAAGCATATCAGCGCTTTGAGTAGAGTCTTAAAGTCACATTATTGTCTCTTTACAGAATAACAGATTAGATGTCTGTTGCTTCATTCATGGATCAAAGAAGGATAATGATGAGGAAGTTGTTGATGGAATTCTTTACAAGATATTTAAGGTAGCTTACGTGCCATTACTCATGCAGAAATGGGTCCGTACTGGAGTCATGGTAATTTTCTTCGGATGGTTATGCACGAGTATTGCTGTTGTACCTCATATTGAAGTAGGACTCGACCAGGAACTGTCGATGCCTGAAGACAGCTTTGTCCTTAAATACTTTAAAGTGAGTAACAAGCGCATTCAAAATTTAGCTTACAACTCAGTACATTCTATTTTCTATTAATTTCTTCATCATTCTAGACAATTTTTTTGTTACTTTAATGTAAAATAATTCGTTTTAGTTCCTGAACAATTATCTATCCGTTGGTCCCCCTATGTATTTTGTCGTCAAAGATGGCCTCAATTATTCAGATACCGAGACACAAAATTTAATTTGTGGCGGGCAATATTGCAACAGTGATTCGATTACCGGACAAATTTTCGCCGCATCCAAACAATCAAATAGGTAGGGTATTATAGTGTAATATATGTTTAATGAAATAAAGCGAAGTACTATATACAATTTTTAACTAAATAAAATAGTATGAATAACTTGGCTCCTTGACATGTTACGTATCGTTGTAGTAACGGTCGTTTCACATATCTAAAAGTAAACGCTATGTTTACATGCTATTTTTAAAATCGATGTTTACTTAGTACTAGATATACTAACTATTTTGAATCAATTTAAAATTCGAATTTTATTTTTTTCTTTCTTTAGGACCTACATCGCCAAACCGGCGGCGTCTTGGCTGGATGATTATATCGATTGGTCGATGTCACCTGATTGTTGTAAATACTTTCCTGGAAACAATTCGTTCTGTCCTCATACAGGTAAGCATTATCTGATCTAAACATCTTGTCAATCTCGTATCCGTTTGAGGGTAAATGAATAAAACATCCCTTTGAAATACTATCCTTCGGAATATTGCAGATTACTATCAGATTTGAACTCGACTTCTAAACGAGATCTTTTCATGAATTATTCAGTCGTACGACGAAACAGTTTCAAAGTTTAATCTGGGGCTTGAGTGTACGTTCTTCTATGTATATCAAGTGTTTATTATCTCTTTCAGACCGGAGTTGTAAGAAATGTAACATCACCGCCAATAAATATAACAGACCAATACCTGAAGATTTTGGTCGCTATGTATCCTTCTTCTTGGAGGATAATCCAGATGATAAGTGCGCAAAAGGTGGTCACGCATCCTATAGCAGTGGTGTCAATTATTGGGAAAATCCAAAAACTCACGTGTCCAGAGTAGGAGCCAGTTACTTTATGGCTTATCACACGATACTGAAGAGCTCTGCCGATTATTACGAGGCTATGAGAGCCGCGAGACGGGTTTCCGCTAACATCACGGAAATGCTTAATAAAAACTTGAAAGCGGCTGGGAAAACTGGTGAAGTCGAAGTTTTTCCATACAGCGTCTTTTACGTCTTCTACGAGCAGTACTTGACAATGTGGCCGGATACGCTACAAAGTATTGGAATATCTCTGTTAGCCATTTTCGTAGTGACCTTCCTTCTTATGGGCCTCAATATATGCTCGTCTATTGTCGTGCTCATTACTATCACCATGATTGTCATTAACATTGGTGGACTTATGTATTGGTGGCACATCACCCTCAATGCCGTATCCTTGGTTAATCTGGTCATGGTGAGTCATAGAAAATATTTTTCATTTTTAATCGTACAAAATGTCTGATATAATAATCTAATAAATCATTGATAACATTTTGATTGTCATCCGCCATTCGATCAATTACAAGAAATTTTTATTCCATTCAGATTGGTTTATAATACGTAGTTCCACGAATTGTAAAAATTGTAAATTCATTTAAAAAGAAAAACAAGAAAGGAGTCAATTTTATTTGCACGTAATATGGTTATTTGGATTAATTATACAGGCAACTTACTTTATATCCATATACATATGTTGTATTTTGAATATTTGTTATTTCATGATTACTATATTTTTACAGGCTGTTGGAATTTCTGTGGAATTCTGCAGTCACTTGGTGCATGCCTTCTCTGTCTCCATTCAACCGACAAGAGTCGAAAGAGCCGCTGATGCACTCACCAATATGGGAAGCTCAGTATTTAGTGGAATCACTCTCACGAAATTTGGTGGAATAATTGTCCTTGGCTTTGCTAATAGTCAAATCTTCAAGGCAAGTTACCATGACAAATTAAACACCTTACATAAGTAATTTATACGTATAAATTAGGACGCAATTGACACGTTGAATGCCCAACCAATTTTATATATGTTATATTCAACGTGAATCGATCATCGGTGAATACCGTAGGGTATTCAAGGTGTTAATTATTTTTACGTTTTTTGTACAGGTTTTCTACTTCAGAATGTACCTAGGCATCGTGCTTTTCGGTGCAGCTCACGGTTTAATATTCCTACCAGTTTTACTCAGCTATATAGGTGAGATATAGTATTATATACGGGATATATGAGATTCTGGTATAATCGGCTATTTATTTCTCTGCATGCATCTCAATCGAATCATCAATTGTCATTTGCATCGAAGAGAGACCGTCACCCTAATCGTACAAAACATTTGCTTGAGATTTCTAACGACCTTTCATTGAAGCACTTTGCACACATTTAGAATCGATGTTGGTTATTGCCTCAAATCATTTGGTTCGGTATTTGCCTGTTACTCTGCATGGTACCGCAACAAATCACTTGGGAAAAGTATTATATTTATGGGAACGTACGGCGGAGGTATTTTCTAAACTAAGACTAATTGTTTCGTTCATGGATGAACAGTAATGGAGTACTTCTGGTAGAATTTCAGTTCAGTTCAATTAACTGGAATACACTAAACTAAACGTTCTTTTCATCTTCCATCGTTGATGCAAAATTTATGTAGAAATACTCTTGAGAAATAGTTTAAGGTGTCGTGAGACCTATGCATGTCCTTCAATGAAAACATTTTTTCAATTTAACATCTACCTATTATAGGTATACCAGGTTATTCAGCCAAAACTCACAACCTGAACATGGTTTTACCATAAGACTCAAATGGGTGCGCTAACTTCAAGTGGTGCGTTTCTACTGAATAACTCTATACAATAACTCTTGCATTGTAAAACACTTAAAAAGTTAATCGTACGTGATTACACGTGATTACAATGACACGATTACCACTACGTGATTTACAAAGAAATGTCATCAGGCGTGCAATCTCATTTTATACAAAAATACTCCATGGCAAAGTGAACGAAACGCTTAATCGCAATAGAACAAAGAAACCTGAAGCACTGCTGTATTGCTGATTAGAATAATTAATAAAAGTATAGAAAGGCTTTCGGAGTCGAATCCTATGGAATCAGATGGTAAAAGTTGTTGTCGGTGCTGAGATGAAGCGGATACTAAACGAATATCGTTTTCGGTATTTTCCATCAATTCTAGGCTCGCCAATGAACCGACAGATGCTGGCCAATCACAAAAGAGCGATACGTGAAAACTTGGACGGCGTGCAAGAGACTTCTTTGAATCATGGTGTAAGCAAACCTAATTCTCCTCCTACACCTACCTTCCGAATGATCGAATTCGACAGATAGGTATGCAGTCTGTCTACCATTCTCTCTTTCTCTCTGTGTACGTGATACAAAACGAACATAATTTTCTCTACTGTGGTTCTCCCTTTTTCTAAGAATTTGTACCTGCATGATTATTGTATCGTGATATATATATGTTTCGTGATGCATTATTGATTATCTTTGGTGCATTATGAAAATGTTGTAGGTATTTGGTGTTTGGTAATACGTCGATGATGAGTTGTTATGCTCATTGTTTAACGTTAGATCCGTTTAATTGTTCTCTTGCGATTTGCTGTAAATTCATTTTTGGACATGATATTAGTAACTCGTGAAAGAAAAGAAGATGGTAGATTTATTTTTCTCTTCTGATAGCCGTACGATATGGCAACATCGATTACTTTCCATTCCCCATTATAACATTTTATTATATAATTGATTATGCATTTGCTTTGAAATTTAATCATTCGATGTCTTAATGCTGATGTATATTTCAGTTGGCGTAGTGACTCGTAAGCTTTTTAATCACCAGGAAACTTGATTTTAATAAATAAATAGTCAAAGCCTGTTAATCTTTTCAAGACAACAGCTTCTCTTTACTCTGAGATGAATCACTGGTAAGGAGTTCATAGATGTTTCCGCAGAAACTTCAGGCTGTGCCTTCAATTTCGGTAACTGTTAAATGGAGGAACGTGCGTTACTAATACTATTGGATCGTCTTCCGTTTTGTTCATAACTACAGGATATCTCCCGTTGTTGTCTTGAAAAGGTTAACAACTAAGAAGTTTGTAATGTATTCGTATACTAATCTTGAGATATATTTTTCTTACATTCTTTAGTGCGCCTATAATCACTTATTGTCTTTTTGTTTAGAGCGTTGTTTTATTTCTAAATAATTGGCAATGACCTAATAACTGTGGGAATGTTTCTTCTAAATATTATTATGTATTAACTGTTCTTTACAATAAATTCTCAGTAACAGCTGCTGCTCTATAAATATTGTTTATATACACTCTATAGTTGATTCGGCACAATTTATAAACAATCAATTGAATTGTGAATTTATGCCAGTCGTTCCTAATATGATTTTCTTTCTGCAGGCCCGATGAGTGGAAGTAGGACGAGCCGGAGGGTCGCGTATGAAAATCGAAGCATCAACCAGAGTGCCGAGGACGAGGATCCCGCAGTCAGAGCACCTCTCCTACGCAGTAACCCCCAAGGTCCGAGTACTTCCTACGCCAGTGTAAACGTCGTAAACTGATAAGAGTGGTTCTTGCTTGATAAAGAGAAACAATGGAATGGAAACTTTCAGTAATTTCCAACGTAATTTTTAAGGAGACACAATTTTAGGCAGAAATTTATTCTAATCCATTTCACTTCTCATGAAGGTGAATGGAATTCGCTTGATAAGGCTATAAATTCGACTGTAGCTAAGCCGTTCCAAAGTGTTCCGAGAGAGTAACGCAACTGGACTCGTTACAGTATTTATTTCTTGGGATCATACGAATCCAAAAAAAAAACTTATTTATAGTGGAGGATAAATTTGTCGCCTTTGTCCAAGATGGTTATATCATTAAAATTATTGGGATTTCATGAACTTATTGAAAATTGATTGTAAATAGCTTTAAAAACGGTACACGATACATACGTGGTTATTAAAATTGGAATAGTTAGATTGTGCGATACTTCTTGTTGAGAAACGCGATTAAACATATTCCGTTTTCCGTATCGTTATCCCATTAAGTTATGTCTTGAAGTTCCTGTTGAAGAGACGTTATCACCGCAATCCAAGATATCAATGGGATTTTACGATATCGAATTCTTTTTGCCGTCCATTACCGTGTTTAAACCTTACAACTTACATTATAACATTTAATATAACATTGGCACAGTCTTTCCACCTAGTGTAAGAGTTGTACATGATTCTTATATGTAAAATTGTATAGATAACTGATCGATGCCAATTTTAATCTGGTCGTAGTTTATCTAATTGTGAATAATTGCTCGTGAAGTTAATTTTGCGGTATGAGATTAAAAATTTGGATTACCCAAAGGACCATCTTGGACAGATTTATTTCTTTAACTCAATCTCAATGATGCGTGAGAAATAATTATTCTTTGTCATGGCGCGCCTACGGATTTGATTAAGCTCGATGCTTCGCGTCCGACGGCATTTGAACTTAATGAAAATGCTTAATTTAATATTCACATTCAAGAATAATTTATCTGAGAATTTCATGATTATATTACTGATGTCATTTGTAATATTTACAGTCGCAAAATGTATAGGAAACAGTGTAGGATCTATGGTGTTGTTTTGTAAGCTCACGTCTTTGGAAGGTTTACCAGTGGCATTTACAATAATTAATCAAAGAGAAAGGAACAAAAGTAATTTTAACAGCATTCACGTTCCAAAGCGATAGTTTTATTATTTACTTCCAATGCATTATTTAATTTTCGTATCTTCTGTAATATTTAATTCTGTATATGTATTAATGGGAATTGTTTCGTCCGTTGGACTCAAAGTGTTAAAACAATCTTCACTAGAAGGCATGATTGTTTACGTAGGTGTAAAAGTATTAGAAATTTAAAATTTCGATAATTCAAATAAGTAGTATAATTTAATAGATTTCATTTCCTACTGCGCGTGCGCACAGAGTGCATACGATTTTCACGATTCTCATCTCTTTCTCATTGATCGTTATCGCGGTCCACGGAGGAAACGTTTTGTACGTAAAAAAAGATACAATTTTTATACAAACAAAGCCGCAGTAATTAATAAATGATAATTCTCTAGGACGTATTAATAACATGCGATGGTACTTTACTATCAGCGAGTGAAGTGAAAAGCCCCTGAAACGTAAAGTGTAAGGCGTTAGATAAATGAATAATACATTAGCTCGAATCTGACTGTTTAAGTTTATACGCAATTGTCTCGAATTGGCAGTGGCATATCGATTTATATGTTCGTTCAATGTCGAACGTGATAATTGTACCATTGATGAAATACGAATACAGATCTAGATTGTGAATAAATCCTATTGTCATTTTATCATAGATACGGCATTAGTTTTATTTTATAAATGTTACATTCAACAAATTTATATCAACCAATGTTTTTGTGCCAGTATAACCATTGTCAACAACTTGAAAAAGTTATTTTTCAAAATGAACCAGTTGCTTCTGTGTACGAGTGATCAATGCTCCTCTTCACTATTGCACTTTGAACATCGAAATGACTTGAAGGAAACCTGGCACGTCGAAAGCCGTTTGCAAGCTTACAGGTATTGTTCTCTGGCCAAAAATGCGTAAAATGTGTCACCTTTAGCATCTAGACTTACCAATACAATTAATTAACATTGCAAGGCTTACATCGTAGAGGAATCGGCGTTCGTTCAAAGAAGAATTATCGTGTTGGTCTTACGGAAGATTTTGAAATACGCACAGCTGAAGAATCCTATCTACCTGCAGCTGCTTTGCATTTCAAGCGATTGGTAATCTTTTTATATAATTAATTGTATCAAGAGACTCTTTCGACTCTCGCGCCAAGTATAATGTATTATTATTGCTGGTGGTATGAAAAGAAATGTATTATTTTTTGATAACGTTCGTATATATTTTATTTTTTCAACCTTTGCATTAACAATTAACATTCAAAACGATGGATAAGAAATATTCGGATATTGATAAACAATGTTAAAGCTTCGTTACCTTTTTCATTTCATAATAAATCTATCTTAATGATAATAAAGCTGTTCTATTATTCTTCACTGCTTAGTTGTATCGTTTGAACATTTTTTGTCCTTGATGAATATCTATTTCTCCTTTAATTTTTTCAATTGTCTTTTGTACGTCCACTTCGAGTGTTCTTTATTACGCTGCTTGACACTAACAAAGTTCATGCAATGGACCAAACAAATGAACTGCTGGGCAGGTTTCGTCTGGATTTCCAAGGAATTGTGCGTAGAGTTCTTGATAGCGGGAGAGTGTTAAGCCACCACGTCTTCTATCATCATCCTAGAATATTAATAATAAATATATTAAATTACTTTTCTTATTTGCAGGGCACAACGTTCAATTTCCTAAAAGGTGTTGATGCAGTCTGTCGACAAGTAAAATACGTTTGAGAGGGGCCATCGTGGTATACACTTCAAATTCTAATGAGTCCCCTGACATCACATTTTACTCGTCCATCGACCATAATGACCGTAAAAGACAAAATGAGGTGAGTATATGAAAAAGCAATTCTTACGTGACAACAAGAGGAGAGAAAGACAAAGAAATATTTACTTCTTATAAAAATGGTTATTTCTTGTCTCTTGTTTTTAGTTGGTTTAATAACAAATTTATGAACAGTTACAGCGCTATACACCGTGATACAAGAATTGTAACGTTGGTGTAAGAAATTTTCTTGAAAATTCGTCACCTTATGTATTTCGCGTTAATCTTATGCAATTGCGGAAATAATATACCAGAAATGAAAACATTTACTTGTTTCCTAACACTAGGTTATTTAAATTTGTCCACGATTTGCCAAAGTCAGCAAAAATGACGTCCTAAGGAAATACAACATTTTACGGTAAACACGTATAAGCTACCGTATAAGGTCAGGATCTAAATGTATAATAAAGAGCTGAAAAAAGTGTATGTATTTTCCGGTGGTAAAAAAAGAAAATTGTAAAAAAAGCTCTGAGATTATCGAACTGCGTGGGAGGCCTTTGAAATACGTATATTGAAATGGCAGTTTTAAACGAGCCCAGCTCGGGAGAGGCCTTGGCAGTTTGTCAAGTGATTGTCTTTTCGAAAACTCAGAATATTGTTTGCAGCCGTTCTAGTCTCGTCAGCTGGTTACGGAAGCATCGACTAGAAGAACTAATCCAGCTGGCCGAAACTTCTTCCCTTGGTAATTGTCTTTCGCCACCAGTGACAACTCCTTTCTTTATGGCCACGTGCCAAAATTGCAAGTGGATTGCACGTGTGCACCTGTGGCACATTGTCTCTTAATAACGTAGTGTTACGTAGGAAAGACCCCATTTTATATTTCTTACTTGAATTATCTTTTCATATCCCATCATAAGGAGGACTTACATAACCATTACTTTTTTCTCTTTCAAAATAATTGCAGCCGTGATTCAAGTAATATGTTAGTCGCTGATATTTGCATTTTTTAAGTAGAATGAATATGTATACTTTTCGTTAAGACTTGTTAGGATCTATATGAATGCAATTAGCTTATTATCAGGTTGTTACTACTACTACTACTACTACTAGAGAACATACGTTGAGCAGGTTCTGATAGGCCTCGTCGAGGGTGTCTATGTTGTCCACGGGAATCCTCGTAACACAATTATAACGATATTCCTCGGCTGCGATAACGCCGTCGTCTAACGAAAGTAAATATGTACCGTATGTTTGATTTTCGTATTAAAACCGCTATGAATTATTACCGTTTATCCTATACCGACTTACACCATTTTTAACTATGACTTAGTTCCATTTTAACCTTCAACTCACCGTTTAGATCTACCAACTTGAAATGGCTGTCAATGAACATTTTCATTGCTTGAGGGAAATCCCTGTAAGACCGTCCAACGCAACATCTCTGCACAGCCTTTTTGAATTCCTCGATAGTTACAATACCGTCCTATGGAATATTCAAATGTAATCATTAAATCATAAATACATAAATGAACCTAGAACAGTATTAGTTATTTGAAAATGCACATGACTATGTAAAATTATAACAAATAAAAGCATTAAATACAGAAAATTACAACCAAGATAGAATTACACGTAGGTATACATATATGTATTGATATACTAAACCTTTGAGTGGGGAGCTCTTTAGATTTAAACACTTGCCGGACACATATGCGCCCATAGCACTCAAAGGGTTAATATGCACTATACAAGTTGCGTTGCATTAAAAAAATTGTTTAGGTACAATAGATTCATGCGCAATGTTTTAAATATTATGCAATAATTTAATGTGAAAATTAAATTAATTATCTGTGCCTTGTTATATAAAATTTGGTTAATTATTAATTTCTGACGCTAATTCGTTTAATGGCACGATGCGAAAATGCACAAAACACATGAGTTTCGGTACCTAATGCATTCCCAGAAGATATACATATGTCGTACATTAACGAATTACTTAAAGGAATGCATTGAAAACAACATTTATAAAAGAAACGATGTACCGTGTCGAATAGTGACTTACAAATTCTACCTTATTGAAATCGGCAAGCTCAGTTATCTCTTCCCAGAGAGAGAGCATAATGTGCAGATTTTCCTGATAACGACTTCCATGGAATTCGCCCTTTCCTTCGATCAGCGTCATCTTCAAAGCCATGCATTCGAAATCGTGCTGGTCCAGTATTCCATTGTTATCTATGTCTAATGATAATCATATGGGATTGATTAATTATCGTAAGAAAATTCGTACTTTAGTATATAATTTATTAGCAATTCATTAATAGTGTCATTGAGTGAATTTTCTAATGAATACAACAGGTGATAGGCTGGAAATGAATCAAAAATATTTACAGCCTTGATAAATTATAGGAACTTGTCAAAAGTTTCTATGAAAAAAGAAAATAACTTTTACGTAACTATAATCGAGCGGACTTACGAAACAAGCGTCGGTTATTTGAAAAATGAGTATTGCAATGGATTTCTCTAAGTATGTTCTTTGTGTATGTGGAATTTTAAATGTTTCAAACTTTAAAACTACGATGTGGGTTTTTCATAGTTCGAAATTGCAACACATTGTAAAAGAATTGAGAGATGAAAACAACGTTGGTATATTAATAATAATTAATTTGCCAATTGTTATGGTAGGATGTACCCCACCATTGGACATTGATTTAATTTTCAGTATGCATATATGGAAACATGCTTTGCCCAATTAAAATAGAAGAACTTTAGTACTTAAGGCACTTAACATATTTTGCATACAATAGACAAATTTGCTAAAAAGTAAATAGAGATATTTTAAGAAATTTTTATCCAAACATTTCAGAGCCATACGTAATCATAATTAAATATAGGACATTGATTATTTTTCTATCGCTCGTATTTTAATCTTCCAAAACTAATATTTATTCAATGTCCAATACATAAACTCATATGCATCTTCCTTGAGGAAAATTATAATAAATTTTAATAATCCCAATGCGTTTTTGAAGTAGTAGAAAAACAAGAAAACTATCCACAATAATTAATCGTATACATTGATTACAAGTTTTCATTCGTCAAACTAATTGTTCGGAATTTATTATTTTAAGACGTCCAGAATGACTTCATTACGATCCATTCAAAAGAACAGCATATGTAGCAAAAAAAAGACGGAGTAAAAGCTCACGGATACACTGAATTCAAAATGTCACGATCTTTCGTTTAAAATTTCAAAGATAATAAAGCTCATAGCACAAGTAACTCCAGTATGTTCTGCGTTAGACAATATTAGAGCTTTAAAACCAAATCCTGTATAACTAACCATAAAGAAACTTGACAATGAAACTGACACGATTGTCCCAACTGTAGGCCATAACTGAAGATGTCCCTATGATTTTTTCCTCTCGTAACTTGAAAATTGGTAATTGGTATTCCTTCACCCAGTGTTACAGCTTCCGTGGAAATTAACTCGTACGCTCAATTTTCCTCCTTCCAGATCCAGTGGTGTTTCCGGACCTTCCTTGAGTCTCTTGTCAGGACGGTTGATTCAAACTGAACTCGAGCTCGCTCGAGCACGTTCTAAGTTTAGATCCCTAGAACGTGCCGTGCTCGAAATTGGGAGGCATGCCCGAACGCCCAACTACTCGTCACTCGTTTACGCGAGTTTACTTGGTTTCCTTGCCAGCCTTTGGCTTGACGCTTCTTTAATGAGACACTTCTGTTTTTTCACATCTTCCACTTCCTTCATCGTTCTCCTCGAGTGTGTATTGTATGTACAGTCATAACTTGATACAGCAATGGTTACGTGCGCAGATATAGAGAAATCAAAAACTGGAACACCGGATGTACAAGCACAGTACATCTTTAGTTGATAAATCAGCAAATCTCTAAAAACAAAAGTCGTGTATAAGAAACACCGGCATTGTTTACAGATTCTTTGTACCTTGATTTAACTCATGTTCGATTAATCGCCAATGTATATATATTCTTTGAAGGAAAGTCTTCTGATCCTGTAGAAGATAACGGCAGGTCGTTAATCATTTTTCGCCGACCCATTTTTGAGGATGAACGTGAATCACGAATTTTAAAAATAATACACAAATCATTTCGATCTAATGATTTGTTCTCAGTGTGGTAGAAACAGAAACATCTTGGATAACCCTGTATTGAAACCCCGTAAGAAGGAATAGACATTTTTAGGTTAAAAAACAAACATCATTTGGAAGTCTATAAAGTCTATGCGTTTCTAGGCGGTTTTTGATTTCAAGTTCATACGTTTTTATATTCAACTTTTCGAGCAGGGAAACTGAAAGATAACAAGGGTTCGTGTTTGCCTGAAATTAGTCGGTTGGTTATTCATCTGTGTGCAGCCGGTTGCCATGTGCACAGCAATAATTAGTTACGAAAACGTACCCGACGTGTTCCTTTGCCAAAGTTCCTTCGCAGTGTACGTCTGTATCTATACATATAACAATGTAAACTATGTTATACTAGACCACACGCGCTTTTGCAGACAATGAAAGGTAACTGCGCTATAGCGCTTTTATTTAAATACACAATCTCATTACATTACACCTTTTCACAAAATTAATCAGCCCCTTTCACAGCAAAGGGAAGACAGAGCGAGGGAGTGAAGTCAGTCGGCAGGACGTAATGAGAAAGGAGGAATACGTAACCGCTAGAAAAAGAGGAATGAGGGACACGGATGAGAAGACGAAAGAGTCGGACTAAGGATAAAACTGTTATATAAGAGAAAGCAACAATAAAAAATACATATAAAGGTACACTAGTGGATTTGCGTTCATTGAAACTTTTTTAACGTTATAGTAAATTTTCGGTGATAATTACATTTTTGTGAAATTCTTGTTAATTCACAGTATATTTAAAGTACTTTCATAGAAAAATCACTTAATTTTACGGTATATGCAAATTATCTGTAGATTTTTTATGATTAGTTAGGGTACAATTTTAGTACATTGTAAGTAATATTGCAATATTTAAACTAAATAATATGTAATATACACTGTCATACGTAAAACTAAAATATTGCGTATGTGCACTTATTTATTTCTTTATAGTTGTTTTGAAAAACTGCAGTATCACAGTACACTACTTAATAGCAGAAGGGAAAACGTATCCTAGGAGATTTTTACGTAGGTGATTGTAAATCAGAGAAGCTGAAGGCGATTACGAGGGAGGACAAATGAGAAAAAGTAAAAGAGAAAAACAAAGCAAGAGGAAATACATGAAGCATAAGTAAGTGAAATAGGACAGTACTACCCAATTGTTTTCAATATTACATTAATAACTTTCTGATGCATATATTTAGTAAATACAATATTATACATAACGTATAAGTTATTAGTCTAGATTTTTGTTAACAAATTAACCCATTTTAAAAATACAACTTTTCTTTCAAGTTTCGTACGGGATGTACCAGATGGAGTCAGATTATTTCCGGTTTATGATAGGGCGTTGTGTTCGTGGCAGAAGTATCATAAAACCGATAGGATGTACGCGGCTCCAGTAATATCGTTATTTTTATGTATTTTCGTCTCGGTGAATGCCGGTGGCCCTACCCTTGTCCTTTTGGATAATCTCGCTATAAAGGAGACACACTCGATTTTCTTCAAATCACTTCAAGGTTTGAATAATTGTTTACTCTTCGTACGTAACCTTAAAACTGTTTCAGTCTGCCCATCTTGTTACTTCAATCACTTGACATTCTTGGATGTTATTTAATGTCATTCAAAGAATAGTCTCAACTTCTAATAAAACTACAATGAAACTTTTATTGTTGCGATCTTGCATTTATTACAGAAAGATTCTCATTTAAGGCATTAGAAAATTTTTAGATTGTACAATTAAAGTTTGTCATGGAGTGTATTATAACTTAATGTTATTTCTTTTCAGATCGTGGTTACCAGCTGACATATAAATTAGCTGATGATGCAAATCTGCAACTATCAAAGTATAAAGAATTTTTATATGAGCATTTAATAATTTTCGCTCCGTCTGTTGAGGAATTTGGTGGAGCACTCAATGATGACACTATCGCAGACTTCATTGATGGTGGTGGAAATGTACTAGTTGCTGGATCATCTCAAAGTGGAGATGCTTTGCATAATCTAGCCTCTGAATGTGGCTTTGAAATGGATGAAGAAGGTGCCACTGTAATTGATCACATAAATTATGATGTTTCGGATGCTGGTCAGCATAATAAAATAGGTCAGATAAATTTTCTAAAATGAGATTCGTATAGATTAACTCTGATACAAGCTTCATTGCACATACTAATATATAAAATTTAATTTTTCATCTTGTCTTTGTCACAGTGGCTGAACCAAGTAGTCTCATCGAAGCACCAGTCATCGTTGGGAGTCGAGACATTCCACCACTTCTGTATCAAGGAACTGGTTTGGTTGCCAAGCCTAACAATCCACTAGTACTTCGTTTACTGTCTGCGGCAAGCTCTGCCTATTCTTACAACCCTGATCAACTAGTTAAAGAATATCCTCATGCTGTCGGTCAAAACACATTACTCATTGCAGCTTTGCAAGCACGAAACAATGCTAGAGTTATCTTCTCTGGGTCTTTATTCTTCTTCAGTGACGAAGCATTTACTAGTCCTGTACAAAAAGCTCAAGGTTCGTCTTGCTAAAACTTTTATACTAAATTCTCGTTCCCTTATAATGTATTTCCCATAATGCAAACTAGCGTAGCATTCCATGTTTTATTATTCGTTCTTCTTTTCAGGTGATAAGAAGTATGAAAAGTCTGGTAATGAAGCAGTTGCCATGGCTATGTCTCAGTGGGTATTTAAAGAAAATGGTGTGATTCGTGTAGCCGCGGTTAATCATCATAAAGTTGGCGAAACTGAGCCACCTCAGTCTTACACTATAATGGACGATGTGATATACGAAATTGATGTACAAAGGCTTCAAGATGGTAAATGGGTACCGTACGAGGCTGATGACTTGCAACTGGAATTCGTTCGTATTGACCCATTTGTACGCATTACGATGAAACGTTTGAGTAATGGTCGGTATCAAGCGCGTTTCAAGATTCCAGATGTGTATGGTGTTTATCAATTCAAAGTTAATTACACTCGAGTGGGTTTGACCTACCTGTACAGTAGTACACAAGTCTCTGTAAGACCCTTGGAACATACTCAATACGAAAGATTCATTCCAAGTGCATTCCCATATTATGTTAGTGCATTTTCTATGATGGGAGGTGTATTTCTTTTCTCTCTTGTATTTTTACATTACAGAGAAGACACAAAGAGCAAAGCCGAGTAATTTAGTCTATTTAATAGTGTGCACCTTATTTACGTATTGAACGAAATGTACTGCCTGTATTACCTATTAATACACAGAAAAATTAGCAGTGCTCTTGTTATTTCTTTTTATTACAGGAAACTTCCATCATAAGTATATTAGTATGCAGGTCTAATTATGTTCCATAAACTTCTGTGTTAAACAGTTTCATATCATATACTAGGCAAGATTTTAAGATTCAGCTGTGTATATACCCTCCTAAATACTTAGTTATTATATACAATTTTTGGAATGATTCAAATCTTAAGAATAACAGAATAATAAAAATGTATGGAAAGTAAAAAATAATGCTAATTCATTATAAATATAATATGTAAAAATATAATCGTAAAACTAAAATGGTAACATTTGTTTCAATTAGAAAATGTTACGAGTTTAAACTTATACAGCGAGGATATCAAATTGTGAAGATGTGTGGAATGCACCTTTGGTAGTTGTCAAAGTGATTTTTGTAGCATAAACAACTTATTGTTTTTACTTATTATTGATTGCAGGTATGTAATTTTGTTATAATAATAAATAAGTGTCTTTAAGCATATGAACTTGTGAAAATAAAATGAAAAGATAGTTACGCTCGTGGCTCAAGTAGAGTGCGTAAAGGATATATGTCATTATATATAAGGATATATGTCAGATTCACTGAGAAAGAAAGGAAGCGGTATAATTTGCGGTATAAAACCTATTGCTCTACGAGGATGATAATTTGTCTGGAACAGAGTGCTCGGATATCGTCAATCCGGAATTTGTCATACAGCAATCAGATCCCGAGAATGAAAAAGACATTGATGATGCTAACACTGACGAGGATAATGATTCATACGGATTGGAAATCACCAAGAAGAAAAGGAAGGAAGATGAAACTGATATCGTTAAGAAAACCAGAAGTCATCCTCGAAAAGCTGTCGCAAAACGAAAAGATGCTGCTCGTATAGCTGGCTCCTTACAAAAGCCCAAATTTCGAGGTCGAAAATTTGGCCCACCTCTCCCAGGGCATCTTTTTGGTCTAAAGGGGAAAGTAAAGAACATTGCTATACCACTAGATGTATGACAATTATTATTCGACGAGGAAATAATCAATAAGATAGTGAATCACACTATGGAAGAGGTGGAGCGCTTGATTGCAGACATTGAAAGCAAAATGTTACCATTACTTGACAAATGTAGAGGAAATCAATGCGTATTTCGGCCTACTCATTATATTTGGAGTTTTAAAACAAAATATATCCAAACTTGTTGAATTATGGTCTGAAGAGTTTGGACTTTCGATATGTCGTACGACTATGTCGCTATGCAGGTTCATTTTTGTAACAAAAGGTTTGCGCTTTGATGATAAAGACACGGTGCGAACGCAAATAAGTTGATAGAGTAGGTTCAGTGAGAGAAGTTTGGAATTTGTTTATTGCTAACTGTGGAAAGTATTACACCGCATTCAAGAATGGGACGATTAGTGAACAATTGGTTGAGGCTAAGGGAAGATGTACCTGTTCCTTCCTTCCTTTCCTTATGGCTGCCTCCTCCAATGGGGAGAAGATGTATGTTGAGGGTATATATACGAAACAAACACGAGTTGAAAATCATAATGATTAACGATTCCAAAATGTATTATATGATGTTTGCGATCCTTTATGTTGGTAAATTTCGATCTGAGCAAAACGAATCGATCCCTACCTATTTCGTTAGAAAACTAATCGAAGATATTGCTGGACCAATCGAACTGTGATGATGAATAGTTGGTTCACGTCAATGCTCCTTTTTGAAATTCTTCTAAAAGATTTTCTTAAACTTGAAAAGTACACTGTTGCACGAGTAACAAAGCATTGGCCCCAAAAGTTCTTTTATAATATGATAAATAACGCCTACATCAATGCTTGCCTTTTACACAACTTTAATCAAGAAAATGAAAAGTTGAGTCACGCGAAATTTTTAAAAACCCTTGGTATATTTCTAATAGAGCCTCTCCTGCGAACACGCCTTCAAGAATTTACGCTGGGATTTTCTTTGAAAAGTATTATCACTCTTCCGCATTTCGATCACGTAATTCTCGAAGAAAGGAAATAGCTAAGTGCAGCTTATGCGAACCGCATTTCTCGGCTCGGGTAAGAATGAAGGGTCCAAACTGCAGGAAGCGGATGTGTATGTACCTACCACCGATCACTCTTCTGTATAAAATGTTACTGTGATTACGTTTAAACAGTTTAAACGATTATTCATACAACATATCAATACTACCTCATTTTCATTATTAATTTTTGTACTCGTTTTCTTCATGATAAATGTATTTTTCTTACAATCACGTCTATTTTATTTCCTTCCACGATACCCTAGCTTAAAGGGTTTTTTGAGTATAGATTTTTGATTTTACTTTTATCTACTTTTTTTTTCGCGGGTTATTCAGCCAATCATCAATCGCTAGTTTGGAACACTTGCGCTACGAGTGGCGACACTACGAATTAATATTGTATAAGTATGTTAATATATGTATTTCATATTTCGTTTGTTTACATGCAGAAAACGTTAAGCAAAAGTAACTTATTTTTAAATATACATCCATAATAATTAATAATGTCTTTGGCGGAAGAACTTCTGGCTGATCTCGAGGAAAATGATGATGCGGAGGAGTTTATGGAAGAAGAGGAACCGGATTATATACCGGCAGCGGTTGTTAAGCCGATTGAAGAAGGTTAGGTCTAATTTGGTATTTTAGTATGATTTAGTTATTTAATCTAGAAATGACAATGCATAGTATATTTATTTTTAATTTAATTTTTACAGTTGTACTAACTTTATTTTTTAACATATTTGATAGATATTTTTCTATGTTGAATAATATGCAATTGAAGTTACGCAATTATGTTTTTATAACTTTGTTACATTTACAGAGATAAAAGTAGCTTCTGTCCGGGAGCTAGCAAAGCTTCGTGACTCTGATGAATTACAGAGAGTCATGTCTCAAATAGAGAAATACAGTAAGATTCCTAGAAAATCATCAGAGATTATTGGACCTGTTGAATCTGATCCAGAATATCAATTAATTGTAGAAGCTAATAATTTAGCTGTTGAAATTGATGATGAAATAGGTAATGTACATGTAATGTTCATATTTATTGAAACCTTATACAATTTGTAAAAAATTGTTTGTTTTAATTTTCATTTTTTATTATAGCAACGATTCATAGATTTACAAGAGATAAATATTCTAAAAGATTTCCAGAGCTTGAATCTCTTGTTGTGGGTCCATTAGAATACGTCATGACAGTACGAGAGTTAGGCAATGATTTAGATAGAGCAAAAAATAATGAAACACTACAACAATTTCTCACACAGGCAACTATTATGGTTGTCTCTGTTACTGCATCAACAACTCAAGGGTATTTTTTTTCTAATACAATCTAAGATACCAAATAAGATACATTTTATCTGCAGTTACAGAACTGGTTATAAATTATTATTATTTTCATTACTATTTTTTCAACAGGCAACTTTTAACAGAGGAGGAGAAGCAAGCTATTTGCGAAGCTTGTGACATGGCAGTAGAATTGAATAATTGTAAATTAAAAATATTTGAATACGTTGAAAGCAGAATGGCATTTATTGCTCCAAACCTGTCGATAATTGTTGGAGCATCAACAGCTGCAAAAATAATGGGTAAGTTTCTCTACATGTACATTCATCCGATATCAACATGAAAAACAATCTAACAATTATATTCGTAGGGGTTGCCGGAGGTTTAACAAAACTATCAAGAATGCCAGCATGTAATCTTTTAGTCTTGGGATCTCAGAAAACTACGCTGTCTGGATTTTCACAAGTTGCTACATTACCTCATACAGGATTCATTTACTATTCTGATATTGTACAAGATACGCCACCAGTGAGTTCATAGCTTCTTCTTTGTACTGTCTCATTATTCTTTCAGTATCATATCTTACCTGTGTGAAGTTAGCCCAGCACTTTTTGAATTTTTTATTTTTGAAAATTGTGCTGAATTGTGCTACATTTGTGCTAACGTGTGCCAACTTGTACCGTTAATCCAAAGTCAATAACTCTTACGATTTTTGAAAAAATTGAAAACTCGTTGTGGTAGACCTTCGTTTGTGCCACTCCATAGAAGCCGTGAAAACCAGAATTTCAAAAAAAAACTAAATGTGCTGTATTGTGCTATGCGAGCACAGCAAGTTTCCCTTATGGCAAAACTTTCTCAGAGCAACCGTTCACGGTATTCCGCGAGGGTTGCATTTTTGCGTTACTCCGAAACCGTGAAAACCAGAATATCGAAAAACTAGATGTTGTGCTGTATTGTGCTACGCGAGCACAACAAGTTTCCCTCATGGCAAAACCTTCTCAGAAAAGTGTATTCGTTAGTTCAAAAGTAAAAGAAGGCTAAATTTTGGAAAACCAACGGTTGTGCAGTGTTGTGCTACGCGAATTTCATTTGAAAAGAAGGCAAAATTGGCAATAGCCACTCAAAAATGGTCTGTGAAATTAGTCACATTTTATATCCGCACTCAGCATTACCCAGAACCAACAACGTGGACGTGGCGGACTATTGGTTCCTTTGTTGTTGTTTTTTTTCATTTTTTTGTGGTATTTTTTATATTTTGTTTTACCTTCTTTTTAAAAACTTACAAGATTATTCGAATTTGATGAATCTTCATATTTAGACATTTATGCCACCACGTGGATAAGCAGATGAGGAAGAACGGTGTATGTATCGGATTCCTGTTTAGCTTTTTAATCATGTCATCAAATTCAATCCATCTCGTCACTTGGTACGCGTAGCCGACATAATGACAAACAAGCTATCACACCTGCAAAAACAAAACAGATGTTACCTACCTGAATTTCTTGTTCACGGAATACCGTGACGGGTTGCTCTCAGAAGGTTTTGCCATGAGGGAAACTTGATGTGCTCGCGTAGCACAACACAGCACAACATTTAGTTTTTCGAAATTCTGGTTTTCACAGCTTTTATGGAGTAGCACAAATGAACGACTACCACAACGATTTTTCAATTTTTTCAAAAATCTTTGGATTAACGGCACAAGTTAGCACAAATGTAGCACAATTCAGTACAATTTTCAATAATGTAAGATTGGAAAAGTGATGGGCTGGCAAAAAATTAGTTTTTTTTCTTTAATTTTTTCGAAAACCGTTACAGTTATAGACTTTAGATTAACGGCACAAATTAGCACAATTCAGCACAATTTTCAAAAATAAAGAATTCGAAAAGTGCTGGGCTAACTTCACACAGGTTCATATCTTATGATTATACTCAATGTCACTACAGGATCTACGAAGAAAAGCTGCAAGGATAGTTGCGGGAAAAAGTATGTTAGCAGCTAGAGTAGATGCCAGTCATGAAGATTCAGATGGCGGATTCGGTCATAGGTTACGGGAAGAAATCGAGAAAAAACTGGATAAGCTCCAGGAACCACCCCCTGTGAAATTCGCAAAGCCCTTACCAAAGCCCATCGATCCTGGTCGAAAGAAGCGCGGAGGTAAACGTGTGCGAAAAATGAAAGAACGATATGCTATTACTGAATTACGAAAACATGCAAACCGTATGAATTTCGCTGACGTGAGTATCTAGTATAACCATTTGAATAGACCTCAATAATCTATAGAATCTTCTTCATTGCTAGAAATAAATATAACTGTAAATAACCTTTGTAGATCGAACATGATGCTTATCAAGAGGATCTTGGGTATTCTCGCGGTACCATAGGAAAGGCGGGTACGGGACGCATTCGATTGCCGCAGATCGACGAGAAAACAAAAGTTCGAATATCTAAAGCTCTACAGAAGAATTTACAAAAACAACAACAGTGGGGTGGCAGTACGACCGTCAAAAAACAAGTTTCCGGTACCGCATCCAGTGTAGCGTTCACACCTCTACAGGTAACATACTTTCTCAATATCTCTTTATTGATATCATTAGATGATATCTCAATATCGGTATCTTATACGGCTATCATTATCATCATATATCAACAAGTATATTTCCATAGGGTTTGGAAATTGTCAATCCGCAAGCTGCAGAGAAAAAGGTCAACGAGGCCAATGCAAAATACTTTTCGAACACTGCTGGTTTTTTAAAAGTCAAGAAGACATAATTCTACTTACATTCTATAATTTAAAGGTTGATGCACATCATCCTCATTTCTCAACGGTTGATTGTAAATTTTATTCATGTAAATGTGTACAACTGTGATACAACAATATTCTCCACGAGAATGACATTATTAACAACATAATGTACTTTGCACACGAGTGTGACAAACTTCACGATCTGCATATAATGTTCGCTTTATTGCACCAGTATCGCATAATATTTTCTATAACGAATGCATGAGAAGTGCTACTTTTCGTGACTCCAAAGTGAAGGCGTATGGTGACAGCGTCCGAGAACAAAACCCTACGCAGTGTGAGAAGTGCGTGCGAGAAGAAAGCACTAGTGCGAAAAGTAAAATTGGGCTGACATGCGCATGCGCAGCATTTTTATTGTATCCTTAGTTATAAAGCGTCATTTACGCCACACTTTGGAGGCACAAGTAGCACTTCTCATGCATGAGTTACATAAAGAATGTTCTTCTATGTCTCATTATAATGTTCTATGAAATGATTCAATAATGCTTGTTCAATTTACAGAAAATCCTTCAAGTATAGAAATGAAAGTGAAGAACTGATTCTATTCTGAATTATCCAAAAACCTAAAATAGTGTGTACCATTATGTTCATTGGAAAGTCTAATGATGTTTTTATTGATAAAATATCAAACTGACTTTGAATGACTTTCCATTAAACATATGTGCACGGAAATTCTTTCTCGTAAAAAAAAAAAACGTTTTTTGTCTTTTAACACTGACAGTCTTTTGAATCAGGTGCAGAAAATAAAAATCAAGTTTACTCTCGCTACAAATGACATACTACTATTTATTTCTGTCAGGCTATATATGTAGGACGGTAAATGTATATCATGAGATACGTATGGTTTTTATAAACATATTTTCAAGCGGTGAATGAAGATAGATAAAATACTGGATTGCTCAGATCAAGCTAGTTAGAGTGTCTGTTACGATCCTGTCAACTGACAGCCTCCACTTTTTATCTAACCGAATTTATATCATACACTAATAGAATTGTGAGAGTACATACATATACAAATCCATATATCATTCTTACAACGTTTATTAAAAAAAGGGTATCGTCACGCTTGAAATAACATGAAGTATCACGTTGAAAGCGATAATATTTATAAAGTTGCCTGCAGATAATCAGCATGAAAAAGTCACAGAGAGACCATTAGAAAGGATTTTGCACTTTCTGACTACGTTCATGAGTTATTGAAGATATACTTCTTCAGTGATTATTGCTTAATCATAAGGAAGCAAATATAATTTACGAGAATTCATCAGAAAGTGGATCTGAATATTTCGTTTATTATCAGAAGTCATTAAAGAGTCCCTATAAAATATACAAAGGAATGCATTACCACGGTCATCTACGTTAATGCGATTTATAAGTTTGAGATTACATCCTGAAGTAATAGTCCTGAATAATCTGGACTACATCAGCATTCTGTTCCACGTATCCAAAGGATGGTTGGAGAACGCACAATGGTCTCGTGCCAGTCTCAGGATAACTCGGAGGCAATGGACCATGAGTGATAGTACAGAAATTGGAGCGGGTCCGATGTGAATGGTGACAGTCTTTAATTTGTTTCCTGCGAACTTACCGACCAACATAATGGTGCGTCCTGCGACCCAGTTGAGGCCAAAGTAGAAGCGACTGCCGGTGAACTAGTGAGAGTAAAGACAAACTGGATCCATTACCACAATGAGTAGTCGAAATTAAGAAGGACAATACATAAATGAGAACATAATTTCAAACACTAAAAACTAGTTAAATTTTATTCTTCAATCATTTAATTTGTTGTATATGCGAATAAATTTATTGTGGAATTCCTGCGCGTTTCCTTGAAAACAAAAAATCTTTCAGGATGCCGCAAACCGCGTAGGGTGACTCCACCATTGAATCGACAGGCACCAGTAAAACACGCGTTCACGTAAATTATATCTATATATAGTGATTTTAACACGGGTGTCTATTCACTGTAAGATTTCTTTGAGGTGTTCATTTACTGATGCACTTGCTCTATTTACTTATATAAATTCCTCTTGAATGAGAGGACTTTGAACTCTCTTTCGAATTTATTGAATCAAATTAATAAATAATAAAAGAATAGAGTATCGTTTGGTGATACTTTTAATTCAATACTTTATACTTCACTTTGAGTTGTAAGACCATTCAATAACCGCGGAAAGTTTATCTGAGCAGCATTACTGTAAAGACGAATGTATGTAGGGATAGTTAATCAGACAATCATCATAATTGCATACATGATGAGCAAGAATGACAGTAACAATCAGACGCGACACTATGGCACCTCGTGCATATTTGCATTTAACAAATGACACGACTCTCTTCAGTTCCTACACGAACTGCATATGGGATTGTTTCCTAATGACAACACGTAAATAGATGTAAATAACAGTGCGCTTAGACGTAGAACAATTTAGTCATATAAAATCGCAGCTTTTGTTATTAAAAAAAAAAAGCGTCAAGTACAGCCTAAAAAAATTTAACGACGAAAAGATAAAATATAGAATACATTTAAATTATGTCGTATACCGGGCATACATATGTCGATTATCAATACGTAAATCATACGAAAGTTTCTTCCATCTTGAAACGCGTCCATATATCAGTATAAAATAATCGTTTAAGTCAAATACGATTATTTATACATATATGCGCATACTTAATAAATGCTACATGAGAAACCGTTAAACACCTTCTTGAACGAAAGTTTGAGCAAAAATTCCGTTCGAAATTCCATCGTAAGCGAAAGTACCATTTTGAAAATTTGAATTCGGTACGTCGAGTCCGTTGGACAGATTTTCATGGTATGGCATAAGCCGTATATACGCATACGTATCTTGCATACATGCGTACGCACAGGTAGATTTACTAACGTAAGAACCGACTTGGTGGTGAACTTCTTTAAAAATAAACAGTGTGAAAAGAGAAGGAAAGAAACGATGTTGTCAGAAAGAGAGAGAGAGACATAGGGAAAGAAAAGGAGCAAGAAAGCAAGTAAGGGAGAGACGTACTAAGGAGGGAGACGAAAGATGGAGAAGTTGAAGTAGGATGAGGAGGCAGAGGAGGAGAGGAGGAGAATACCGGGTGGAACGAACGGACAGACAGCCAGAGCTCGGGTACTGCAAGGTAATCGTGAGTGGTTTGGTGTACTGTGGCGTGTAGCCCATGTGCTTGTTCTTTCTGTCTACGATTACGCGACGAATTAACCGAATCCCTTCGTTATTAAGGAATAAGCTTGTCTCACGTTGAAAAAGGTTTCCACGATTGTGCGAACGTTGGATATTGCTTCGGATAGAGAAAAAATTACTCGTGCAAAGACGATCTCCGGTGTTGTGAAAAATATCTAAGACATATGTAAGACACTGTCAAATACTTTTGAAGGACTTTGTGGATGAAGTGGAACATAAGCTGTGAAGAGGACGTGGTCCTAGAAGTGAAATCATGGCTACTTATAAGGACTTAAAAAACGACTGGTCTTCGCTGTGTCAGGATTGCTATGAATGCTGGACAACTGCGGGTAAGTTTTTTTAATTTTATTACATGTATGTATGTGCCATAAATTACGTGCTGGCGAAGATATGGAAGAACGTCTATTCATTTTATGTTTTTCATAACACGTACTTTCGCTGAATTCTCCGCAACTCGTATCTGCTATATTAGTTTATCTGCGAGACAGTAAATATCGAGTGAGGCGAATGACAAAATTATTCTATGAATTTTCATCGTAAACAAGCAACCCTTCGGCTATCGTATACATGGGTCACCTTCGGCGACACAGACTCCGTATTTATATTATTGTCTTTGACATTTTACTTATCCATTGTCTTCGTGTACGCCCTTTCGAAATTGCGAAATTTCCAAATTTTTGTCATAAGATTCTACAGACACGAATACCCAAAGCGTAACACTATAACATATATACCATCGAAAAATCGATCTTCACGTAAGCCGTAGCTTCGATCACGCTTTCTTCACGCGAATTTCTACCGTATAAATGTATATACACAACCCAATACTATATCCGTAGTAACACGCAATTCACAATTCACGGAAGATGCTTCTTACATGCAAGAGTAACTATTCTTTTGGTACTCTATACGTATATGTAACCGCCGTAACCTCCTTACGATAAAATAATTCCCAGCGATCCACTCAACAGTACCGCGAAGAAGATCGATCGATCTTGCATTGCACTTGAGAAGATTCAATGCAAAGTAAGCAACGACTTTCGACTATATATACATATATATAACGTGATCGATGGCGTTCAATCGATCAGGAAGTACATAAAGTGCAGAAATGTCGGCTTTCGCATCGATTGCTTATTGATTAATAAAAAGTGAAACGGGAAATGAAAAAAGAAGCCGTAATACTTGAAAACCACTATTTTTTACACTACTTGGCTATTACTGTATAATACAGCAATGTGTATGTACATACCAGCGAAACTAACTCATTAGTTTAGTCTAAGACGATTGTATAACAACCCGTCTTACTATAGGCTAACCGATGCAGGCTGTTTGTACCAAGAAAAAATCAGGACAACCAGAGGCTATTAATGAGCGGTACCCGAAGTCATTAACATTGACGAGAAGTGACTGTAGCCAAGAAGTTATTTCAAATGACCGTTGCGTTATAAACATAGCGTCGTAGGTACTCGTGACGTATGCGAATACTTTTCGAGCGGACTGTCAAAACCCGTATAGATTCGCGCCACAGGTTTGCTTCTCCAGGCATACGATAGGATCGCGAATTAAAGTGAAAATACATTGCGTAATCGGTGCTAGTTATTATGTCAAGTGATATTTGCATAGGATAAAGCAGCAGAAGCGAATATATCTTGAGAATCTCTATATCCAGTGTACCGTGCGACAACCTAACCTAACTTATTCCTGGAAGAGATAGCAAGTTTATTTATAGCAACTAGTATCGACATTAACTATTTTATAATTACGCAGTTTGATTTATTAGGATCGTAATGACTATACTTACTGTAGAATATTTTGTATCGATCGAAGTAAAAGTGTAACGTAACTTGACAATTAATATTTATCGCGATATTTTATTTTTGATTTGACTCCAGCTTCTATTTGCGATTTATCGTATGAGTATGCTTTGTACCTATAGCATGTCTAAACGTATAAGTAATATATGTGCAAATGGTATTCTAAGTCAAGACAAACTGCACAGCGTGAGGATAACATGTGGGTATTTGCATTAAGGGGTATGCACACGTCAGAGCATATATTCACGCATGTATGTACATATTGACCTCCAGAGGATCAGCCTGTAAGGCTTTAATGAGAAGTTGGCTTGAGCCTATCATCATACGGCTGCATTGCACATGGTGCAGGTGCATCTGCAACATTTTCTCGCGTGCCAGCAGGATCGGTGCTGCATTTGCGAATGCATTGCTGATTTATATCGTGCAACGATCGTCGCTGGATGTCGGTAATGTAGGTTTCTCTAAATCACGCAGGACTTTATCACCTGCTCTTGTCGTGGATCCGAAAAATTATTGATATTTTATCTGAAATTCAATGAACGATGAAATTATGAAATTCATCTCGTGGATGAAATTTACTTTGATTTTTTTTTTCTTGTAGCGATCAACATCAACAACCTGCTAATTATTACTTAAAGTTCTGTTTCGCCGCGCGAGCTGTCACACACAGCTGATGCACTTTTCTTCGCGCGGCATTCAAATAAGGGATTATCGGCCGAATGGCCTTACGAGCAATAGTAGCGCGAACCTCA